TTGACTAAGGGAAACCACAAAAAATGCATTAGTCTATAGGCCCTGATCATGTGCACATAGAAATGCAGGGGCACATACACACATACAGGCAAGGTAGGCAAGGTAAGAAGGGTAACTAGGTGGGCATGTCTGTAGGTATTCAGCTATGTAAATAGGTACGTAGGTATGAACGGTCGTGTATTTGTCCGAAATTCATGATTAGGAAATTTGAACATGAAAGAATTTTGTCAGATGAAAAGCAAGGAACTCGAATCACCAACAGACAGTCCATGCCTGGTGGCACACTGATATCTTCCGAGATGGATGGCAACAAAAATAACCATCACAAAAGTAGCAATGCAATATCAAGAGTTTGTATGATCATAGAGTTCCTCCCAAACTCCACTGGTGGTCGCAAAATTCGGCGCTAGCTCAGCTGCTTTTCAAGATCTGTGCCAGAAGCATCAAGAAAACCTTCCATGGAGTCTCCACTGCCTTCCCTTTTCCAGCGATCAACCGATCAATCACTTGGATGACAAAAAGTCACCATGACTTGATAAATATGATGACTTGATATATAAATGGTTTTGTTCTATAACCATTTGATGAAATATACACATGATGAACAAACATATACAAAAACCAGGGCGACCCTTCTAGCCATCAGATCAAGTGTGGAGAGTGCACTTGTGCCACGACCCGGAAGAATCAGATCAGGATCTAAGTTTCCCAGCTCGGAATGCGGAAAGGATCCAGTGCGTGGATATTCCTGGCAGATTCTGCCAGACAATCTTCACATAAATTGCGTTGTCAACACCTGTTGCCTCCACAACAAACCTTGAGGATTTCATCTCTCATTTTTCGGGGCTCTATCTCTGAAAGTCCACATTGAGACTAACAAGTCGATCTTTAGCATCGCAGAACATGTCAGCAGTTCCTGAGATGGGTGTACCATTGGACCCCTCTTTGGCATGAACAAGGCCTACCTTTTCATAATCATCCTTGCCGGGCAAAACTCCCAAGATTGCTATAGAGTATACCTGGTTGGTGGTTGGGCCTACCCCTCTGAAAAATATGAGTTCGTCAGTTGGAATGATGACATTCTCAATATATGGGAAAATTTTCAACATGTTCCAACATCCACCAACCAGGTATACTTGAAATAGATGGTTTATACAACCCATTTATGGTGATTTGGGGAATGGTTTACTATTGTTGTTTTAACCACACATCATATACCACATATACTAAAAATAATCATTTAGGGAATGGTTTACTATGGGGAATGGTTTGCCCATATACAAATAATCTAAAACATCAAGATCTTCTTCTTGAAATTCTCGCTTCATCGGCCAGCGCCTGCCGGTCGGAAGCACCGAGGCGCCGTCGCGGATTAAGTCGCCGCCGGGCGCAGGCAGCACCTGGATCGTCCCAACAAAAACATGGGAGATATCGCCGGATATGGATGTGGAAGCCATTGGAAACCTAAAAAACTCAAAAAAGAAGGTAATGTATCAAGATGATTCAAGATGATTCAAGAGTATACTGCCCTAATGATCCTTAAGTTACTATCACATACCATCAACTTAAGAGGATTGTGCGTAACGCAAGCCACATTGGAATGGCAATTTTTCAGTAGCCAGCCAGGGGGATTTCTCCGTGAACATGGGAGACTTTAGCAGAGACAACAAACATGGGGGTTCATCCAAAATTTGGCAAACCCGCAGTCGAAGATAATCCACAAACATGGAGATTGAATCCATACAGATAGAAAACCAGCGCAAATTCAACCAAGAAAAATCCACTATTCATCTCAAAACTATGTCGAAGAAAAACAGCAACAACTAAAACATCTCAAAACCATATCAGAAAAAAACAACAACAACTTGCTGGTTGGTGGTTTCAGCCCCTCTGAAAAATATTAGTCAGTTGGGATGATTATCCCCAATATATGGAAAAATAAAACATGTTCCAAACCACCAACCAGCTTGAATAGAAAGGACTTCTTGGGGATCTGAATCATTACAAGAAACATTTCGGAAAGCGCCGAGCCACGTATTCGCCGTTCAAGGCGCGCAACATCCCTGGCAGGCTCTGCAACAATCATCAACTAACCTCCTATGGGGGGTTCTTAAAATGGTGGATCCCCAAAAGCATGGGTTTCAAGACTAAAATAAGCTAATTTTGGATGAACTAATCTCCTATCAAACCAAATTAAAACCACATACCAAAACAACACCATGAACATCCATGAGCAAAAAGAACAAAACTGGTGTTTTGACAAAGTCGGCCCTTTTTCCGCTTTTTCCCATCCCAAAAAGACATGTCAACTTCGGAAGTTTCCCTCGCCTGATATCTCCTCAACATTTCGCTCCAGCAATGTTCGGATCTCCAATGCCTCCTTGACACTGCTGCGCAGCCTGAGGTCATGGGAATGGGATTGTCCATGACCAATTCACCTGTATACCTGTCTTGGATGTCCCACCATTGGGACCATAGCAAAGGGATAAAGGGCAAACAAAAACTTCCAAGATTTTGTATGATTTTGTCATGTTTTGACCAACAAACGTGTCTTTTTTTCGCAATGCAGCTGGAATTCAGCCTATCACCAGCTGGATGATCATTTTGAGTATGACCAGGTGAAAAAGGACTTGTTGATCGGAAACCTGGATCGTTTCGAAGGCGTCTTGCACCATTTCTTGAAAACGACGGAGTTCAAAAAGATGGGTTTCAAGTCTGACCCATCTTAGACTTTCCTGTTTTTTTCTTGAAATCCATCTTTTTGACCACCCCACTTTGGGTATGACTCTTTCTGACCATGAAATCACAGATTTTGATCATGGTGAGCTGTAACAGCTCCTTTAGATCTGCCCAGACATTGGGCAAATGATCTCCGAAATCTTCAAACTTTTACCATGACTTAAACCCTCCTTAAAACATAACTTATTGGTCTGATGCCATTTTTGTGATTTTCGAATTTATCTATGATTTATCTATGATATAAGATTTTCCATATCCCACCCTCCAGCAATGCCAGGCCACTCTTCTGAATCCGTCCCAACTTTGACGCATTCTGCGAGGACCTCCCTCTCTGAAGCGCCTTTGGCCAACGTCTCCTAAGCGCAGGCGGTCGATTGGAGCTGAAACGCACCGTGAAGACACATAGGGAACTCACATTACCTCAAACACGGGGATATCTTTAACAAAATAGGGGGGATGTAAAAAAGGCAATCTATGGCAAAATAGGGGTGTCCAAAAATGATAATCCTTTTTTGGATGCTTTTCTTCAGTCAATCTATGATAAACATTGATAAACCCTGGGAGCTTCTGGCTCCTTATGGACCACACATCATGAAATCCTCCAGATTCGATACGACAAGCGGCCAGACGCAACCGACAGTAGCTGAGAACAATAAGGAGATCAGAGTCCAAAAATATTCAGACATCCCTGAATTTCCATCTAACCATTATTAGCCATCATTAACCATTATTAACAATCATTAACCATTATTAGCCATCATTAACCATTATTGACCATCATGAACCATTATTAACCATCATTAACCATTATTAACCATCATTAACCATTATTAACCATCATTAACCATTATTAACCATCATTAACCATTACCAACAATCATTAACCATTATCAACCATCATGAACCATTATCAACCATCATTAACCATCATGAACCATTATCAACCATCATTAACCATTATCAACCATCATTAACCATTATCAACCATCATTAACCATTATTAACCATTATTAACCATCATTAACCATCATTAACCATTATTAACCATAATTAACCATTATCAACCATCATTAACCATTATTAACCATCATTAGCCATTATGAACAATCATCAACAATCATTAACCATGATTAACCATCATTAACCATTATTAACCATCATTAACCATTATCAACAATCATTAACCATTATCAACCATCATTAAGCATTATTAACCATCATGAACCATTATCAACCATCATTAACCATCATGAACCATTATCAACCATCATTAACCATTATCAACCATCATTAACCATTATCAACCATCATTAACCATTATTAACCATTATTAACCATCATTAACCATTATTAACCATAATTAACCATTATCAACCATCATTAACCATTATTAACCATCATTAACCATTATTAAGTGCATTAACCATTATCAACAATCATTAGGCATTATTAACCATCATGAACCATTATTAACCATCATTAACCATTATTAACCATTTTTAACCGTAATTAACCATCATTAACCATGATTAACCATCATTAACCATTATTAACCATTATTAACCATCATGAACCATTATTAACCATCATTAGCCATTATGAACAATCATCAACAATCATTAACCATGATTAACCATCATTAACCATTATTAACCATCATTAACCATTATCAACAATCATTAACCATTATCAACCATCATTAAGCATTATTAACCATCATGAACCATTATCAACCATCATTAACCATCATGAACCATTATCAACCATCATTAACCATTATCAACCATCATTAACCATTATCAACCATCATTAACCATTATTAACCATTATTAACCATCATTAACCATTATTAACCATAATTAACCATTATCAACCATCATTAACCATTATTAACCATCATTAGCCATTATGAACAATCATCAACAATCATAACCATGATTAACCATCATTAACCATTATTAACCATCATTAACCATTATTAACCATCATTAACCATTATCAACAATCATTAGGCATTATTAACCATCATGAACCATTATCAACCATCATTAAGCATTATTAACCATCATTAACCATTATCAACCATCATTAACCATCATGAACCATTATCAAACATCATTAAGCATTATCAACCATCATTAACCATTGTTATCCATCATTAACCATCATTAACCATTATTAACCATCATTAACCATTATTAACCATCATTAACCATTATCAACCATCATTAACCATTATTAACCATCATTAACCATTATTAAGTGCATTAACCATTATTAACCATCATTAACCATTATTCACTATCATTAACCATTATTAACATCATTAACCATTTTTAACCATCATTAACCATTATTAACCATCATTAACCATTATTAAGTGCATTAACCATGATTAACCATCATTATCCATTATTAACCATTATTAACCATCATGAACCATTATTAACCATCATTAGACATTATTAACCATCACCAACAATCATTAACCATTATTAACCATCATTAACCATTATTAACCATCATTAACCATTATTAACCATCATTAACCATTATCAACAATCATTAGGCATTATTAACCATCATGAACCATTATTAACCATCATTAACCATTATTAACCATCATTAACCGTGATTAACCATCATTAACCATGATTAACCATCATTAACCATTATTAACCATTATTAACCATCATGAACCATTATTAACCATCATTAGCCATTATGAACAATCATCAACAATCATTAACCATGATTAACCATCATTAACCATTATTAACCATCATTAACCATTATCAACAATCATTAACCATTATCAACCATCATTAAGCATTATTAACCATCATGAACCATTATCAACCATCATTAACCATCATGAACCATTATCAACCATCATTAACCATTATCAACCATCATTAACCATTATCAACCATCATTAACCATTATTAACCATTATTAACCATCATTAACCATTATTAACCATAATTAACCATTATCAACCATCATTAACCATTATTAACCATCATTAACCATTATTAAGTGCATTAACCATTATTAACCATTATTAACCATCATTAACCATTATTAACCATCATTAACCATTATTAACCATCATTAACCATTATTAACCATCATTAACCATTATTAACCATCATTAACCATTATTAACATCATTAACCATTATTAACCATCATTAACCATTATTAACCATCATTAACCATTATTAAGTGCATTAACCATTATTAACCATCATTAACCATTATTAACATCTCTTGTTGAGGTCAAATCCTCATGTCCCTGTTTCAGTGTGGTTGGAGTGTTGGTGATGTTTTTACGTGCCTCTTCGACAGGGCACAAAACAGACCTGGACGTTGCAGACTTTGTCAACAGGAAGTGTGGCATCCCTGCGAAACGCTTATCGCCAATCTAACCTGTATTTGGATGATTTGAGGGAAAAAAGTACCGGAAACATTAAGAAAACTATGATTCAACATGATTCTGATTCAGCAATGAAATTCCCTGGTTGCCTGCAAATGTCCTTGAAAGCCAATGAAACCTCCTAAGAAACATAGACTTACGTAAAAAAAACACAAGTTCGTGACCATTTTTCTCTTCAGTCGGAGCTTAGAGATGTCTCTGACTCAAATTTGGCCATGGCACTACTGCCCGCGGGGTATACTTCTGGGATGCTTCGTTGGCCCAAGTCCCATCATTTAGGGTGACATCTTCATCGCCGAAGGATCAATCGCCACTTCTGGCAGCTTGGAAGTGCCAGGCGTCTCCTCGAAGCAACCCATCAGGTAGCCTGGCACAACTATGTCCTGATCATTGTCAATATGTGTGTCCATGCATCCATGTCTCTGTACATGTATACGTCTATTTGTATACGTGCAATTAAGTGCATAGGTTGAAATGTATATCTCTAAGATCATCTCATTTTTTGGTTTTGTTTATAATGTTAAAATATGTTAATATTTGCTAGTATATGCTAATATATGTTAATATATGTTAATATATGTTAATATATGTTAATATATGTTAATATATGTTAATATATGTTAATATATGATAAGATATGTTAATATTATGTTAATATATGTTCAATTATGTTCATATATCTAAATCTTATTCCTTTTCTTACACAAGATACGTACAGAGATAGGCTCCCGTTGCCAACTCGCACATTGCCGGCACTGCGCCTGTCATCTCTGGCGTGGATGGCTTCTCTCCCAAGGTGTGGAGCCCTTCCGAAAAGAGCGACGCCTCTAACTCGGCCAAGTAGCCACCTTTTCGGCTTTCGTCAAAATCGTCAAACATCACCCTGTGATCTGTAGCGGGAAAGAAAAACACAACACGTGTCTGATGGATCAACATATGTCAACATATCTCAACAGCTCACAAAAAAAACATCTTGGTCAATCCATGTGTGCCATGGTCCAAACATGGAAAAAGGTGGTGACCATCAAAAAAAACATGGGAATACAAACAACCATCTTTTTTTGTTTATTAATCCCCTGTATTTGTACTGATTGGTCGAGACCAAAATCCACAACAATCTCAAGGCTTCTGCGTTGCCTCTAAGACGTGGCACCTTTAAGACATGTGAAAAACACATCATGATGAGGATGAGGATGAGGATGAGGATGATTAGGATGATGAGGATGATGATGATGATGATGATGGTGATGATGATGATGATGAACATGAACCTGTGAACTTGTAAATTAATGTAAATGACTTGATGAATCAAATGGATAGAGGGCTTCGAGCATTCCTGCCACCTTCGGACAGAAGCCTAGTTTCTCCCCCTGAACTCTTATCGGGTGGTTAAACTTCCTATTTGTTCTCCTGATTTGCTGCAAAAATCTTGCCCTTATTTTAGAGAAAACCCTTGATACATCATGATACATCCCCATTTGGCTTGGCCATGAACCATGTGTCGGCATGCGGCCATCGAAACCATGACAAGGCCATTTAGTGAACCAGTGAAGAAACAATACAAACCATTGACCCAGCCAAAAAAAAGCCGCACGAATCGGATATGGAAACCATTCTTTGATGAAACGGTTGATGTTTGGATCCTGACCATGAAATCTGGACTCTTGTTTGCTTAAGACATCCTACAACCCTGCATTAGTTGCGGCTGAAATTTCTCAGATTCCGGTTTTCTTGTGGTCCACTCCCCGTTCTTTCTGCTAAAAACATCCAAACGACCATGAGCTCCTTACATTTTGTTCGATGCCACCACAAAAAACACGCAAGCCACTATCTTGGCGCCAGAAACCTCAATTTTTTTCCCGTAGCCACCCCATTTTTTGGGCCGGAAAAAAAACTTCTTCCCTCTCCGGCCGTGCGGCGCAGCTTCGCCGCATACTCGGCGAAGGCAGTGCCGTCGAAGTGCTGCGCGGCGCGGGCGGCGCAGGCGTCCAAGTCCAGCGATTGGGTTTCGGCCTCGGTGATTGCCTGGCGTGCTGTGGAGCTGGGGATTGGACCAGGAAAAATGAGGGATTTCACCAAGAAAAACTATGGATATATTAATGGATTTAATGGGATATGGATTTATCATCTGGAGGGTTTAATGGTTGAATGGGAAAATCATATAGTGGGGGAGTTAAGTACAAGTTGGTAACTTAGAAACTGGTTTATTCAGGTTATAACTTATAACCCAATGATAAATGAGAGACGCCCTAGGAATCGGGGACTTGCTACCTAGGGCCAGAAAAATGGTGAGGTAAGACGCAAACACTGTGATTTAAGATTGTTTATATATGTTTATACAATCATCTGGCTATGATTAATGGATTTATATATATATATATGCATGCTATTGGTGGATAGGACCAATAACCAAAATTATCCCATCATCCAGAATCCATGGAGAGATGGTTGCTTTTTATATACCTGGAATCTGGGATGGAACATGCTCCTCACTGAGGATTAGGGACACCACAAAATGGGCAACCATTCCCGTGTTTTCGATTTACTGTACTCCAGAATTGCTTTTCGAATTCATATCTGTCTAGGAGGATCATCTCGCTGACTAAATGGTTCTTGCTACTGATTTCATCCCAATTTAAAGACACATCGGGAGGTAACATCACCATCCATGGCCCACCATCCATGGCTCCCCAGCCCTACCTCTTGCACCTGCTTGGGAAAGGGCACGTCCTTCTCCAAGCCAGCAGAAAGCACGGCCTTGTTGCATCAAATTATGGGCATCAAAGGTTTCAATGGGCGACAGGTGATCCATGAAACTCCAAGAACTAAATGGGAGGTAAACAGCAAAATAGCTGGGATGTTTGATGATGTTTGAAGGGGTTCATCCCAAATATGGGAATGGTGGGAATGATTCATAAGATTTGATCTACCGCCAAAGCATCTCACCCATCATGTTGATTCGTTTTGGCCATGAAAGTTTGAATTTTGAATGCATGATGTTTGCCATGAAACTGGTTGATAGATCAACAACAAGGAGATTGATGACGACACACGCAGCAAAACATGGCAGACAGTGCTGCTAGATTCCTCACCACACTGGAAATTATGCCATGCACAACCAGCAAGAAACCACCACACATTGCCAATCCATAAGGAACAGGAACATGACATATCTTATTTTACCATATTTGTTTTTGAAAAAACACTTATCATACACCATACTTCCTAAATTTACCATATTTTCCTAAAACATCACGTTTTTCCGTTCCCAAATTTTGGTGTTGCTGCCACTTGTCCCTTCCCTCCTGGATCAACGCAATCTCAAGGGTCGGTTCACCATCTTCCGGCACTCCTGGAGTAGCAAATGATGAGAACCACATGGTACGTGGGCCCAGTACCCTATTTATCTCATTTTTCCTGTTTTCAGAACAAAAGCCAACTCTGGTTGGTGGTTTGAACCTACCCCTCTGAAAAATATGAGTTCGTCAGTTGGGATGACACGACATTCCCAACTGAATGGAAAGTCATAAAATTCCATGGTTCCAAAGCACCAACCAGCAACTTCACGAATGGGTGGTGGAAAAAAAACCTCCGAAATGGGTTTCAATATGTTTCAATCGGCGCCGGTTGGCTGATCATCTTGACTCAAATCGATCTTGCAAGGAGGAGCAGGGGATGGATCAAATCTCCATCCAACTCATAGATGATCTGCCAATGGAAACTGCGGGAAGCTACCACTGCCACTTGAAGCTACCGGAAGGTAAATCCCACTGCCATCACATGTTCAACTCCATAGCTTTGTGTGATATACCGATATACCTTAAATAAACATCACCATATGTTGTAGTTAGTTGTAGTTGTAGTTGTAGTATGTTGTAGTTATTGTAGTTGTAGTAGTGGTAGTGGTAGTGGTAGTGGCAGTGGCAGTGGTAGTGGCAGTGGCAGTAGTAGTAGTAGTAGTAGTAGTAGTAGTAGTAGTAGTAGTAGTAGTAGTAGTAGTAGTAGTAGGTAGTAGTAGGTAGTAGTAGGTAGTAGTAGGTAGTGGTGGTAGTGGTAGGTAGTGGTAGGTAGTGGTAGGTAGTGGTAGTAGTGGTAGTAGTGGTAGTAGTGGTAGTAGTGGTAGTAGTGGTAGTAGTGGTAGTAGTGGTAGTAGTGGTAGTAGTGGTCGTAGTGGTCGTAGTGGTCGTAGTGGTCGTAGTGGTCGTAGTGGTCGTAGTGGTCGTAGTGGTCGTAGTGGTCGTAGTAGTGGTCGTAGTGGTCGTAGTGGTCGTAGTGGTCGTAGTGGTCGTAGTGGTCGTAGTGGTCGTAGTGGTCGTAGTAGTGGTGTAGTGGTCGTAGTAGTGGTCGTAGTAGTGGTAGTAGTGGTCGTAGTAGTGGTCGTAGTGGTCGTAGTGGTCGTAGTGGTCGTAGTGGTAGTAGTGGTAGTAGTGGTAGTAGTGGTAGTAGTGGTGGTAGTAGTGGTAGTAGTGGTAGTAGTGGTAGTAGTGGCAGTAGTGGTAGTAGTGGTAGTAGTGGTAGTAGTGGTAGTAGTGGTAGTAGTGCTGGTAGTAGTAGTAGTAGTAGTAGGAGTAGTAGGAGTAGTAGTAGTAGTAGTAGGAGTAGGAGTAGTAGGAGTAGTAGGAGTAGTAGGAGTAGGAGGAGTAGGAGGAGTAGGAGGAGTAGGAGTAGTAGGAGTAGTAGGAGTAGTAGGAGTAGTAGGAGTAGTAGGAGTAGTAGGAGTAGTAGTCGTCGTCGTCGTAGTCGTAGTCGTAGCCGTAGTCGTAGCCGTAGTCGTGGTGTTGGTGCACAGTAGCTCCCCCAGACTCGCCATCTCCAACATCTGCATGCCTTGGGTTATCGGGGTGGCACCAGCTGCTGCTGCATAGCTGCTGGCGGTTGCTACCTGACAGTGATGGGTTGCAGATCACAATCACCGGTTGCAAAGCCTAAATGGGATGGACTCGCCTACAGTGTTTCTAGAACATGTATATGGATGTATATGCTGGGGGTTTCTGAAAATGGGATCCCTATGGATCCCCACGTCACCATGCTTGTTTCATCCCCATTGACTTTGGGGGGGGTCACTCAAGTGACCCCATTCTTTAGACAGAAAATCTCTGACCCAGTCAAAAGCCTAGAAAATGAAAAGACCAAGTAAAATTGGACGTTTTTTTGGATTGGGCAATTCATTTTCTAGAGGGATGTATGGATGTTTTGGACATGTATGTTTTTAAACAAACAGGTACATGAGAGTACAATTCACCACTTTGGGTCTAGAAAATGACCTGTAATGCCATCATAAGAACAATAAAAACTGTTCCCCTAAAAAAATGGTTTCAAAAATGGAGGACCAGAAATGAACAATGTTTTCTCTAGAAAATGAATTGTGCAATCCTTACTAAGACAGGTAATCCATATTCCCCTGGAATCACCAAAAAAACAGTCATTTAACCCAAATTTAGTGCCAAAAATTTAATCCAAAAAATCAGCCTGCAATCCAGCGCCAACAAAGCGAGTGATTTTTTTTCTCTCCCAAAATTGTCCAAGATTGGTTGATCAAGATTGATCAAGGTCTCTACGTTTGTCAAGTCCATGAAGAACTTGAATTTCAACGAATGATTTGGGCTGACCACATATTTATCCCTATTGGCATTTCAGGGTGAACTCAAGTGACCCTCATTTTCTCGCCAGAAAAATTCTGACCCAATCAAAAGCCTAGAAAATGAAAAAAACAGGTAAAATTGGACGTTTTATTTGATTGGACTATTCATTTTCTACAGGGGTGCATGGATGTTTTGGACATGCATTTTTTGAACAAACAGATGCATGAGAGTACAATTCACCACTTTGGGTCTAGAAAATGACCTGTAATGCCATCATAAGAACAAAAAAATGTTCCCTAAAAAAATGGTTTCAAAAATGGAGGACCAAAAATGAACAATGCTTTCTTTAGAAAATGAATTGTGCAATCCTTGCCAAGGCGGTAATCCATATTCCCCAGGAATCACCAAAAAAACAGTTATTTAACACAAATTTAGTGCCAAAAATTTAATCCAAAAATTCAGCCTGCAATCCCGCGCCAACAAAGCGAGTGATTTTTTTTGTCTCCCAAAATTTTCCAGGATTGGTTGATCAAGATTGAGCAAGGTCTGTAGTTTTGTCAAGTCCATGAAGAACTTGAATTTCAACGAATGATTTGGGCTGACCACATATTTATCCCTATTGACATTTCAGGGTGAACTCAAGTGACCCTCATTTTCTCGCCAGAAAAGTTCTGACCCAATCAAAAGCCTAGAAAATGAAAAAAACAGGTAAAATTGGACGTTTTATTTGATTGGACTATTCATTTTCTACAGGGGTGCATGGATGTTTTGGACATGCATTTTTTGAACAAACAGATGCATGAGAGTACAATTCACCACTTTGGGTCTAGAAAATGACCTGTAATGCCATCATAAGAACAATAAAAACTGTTCCCTAAAAATCACTAAAAAAATGATTCAAAAATGGAGGACCAAAAATAAACAATGTTTTTTCTAGAAAATGAATTGTGTAATCCTTGCCAAACCAGGTAATCCATATTCCCCAGGAATCACCAGAAAACATCAAATTGAGTCATTTCTGCCACCAAAAAATCCAGAAACTGACCTGTAATCGAATGCCATCGTAAGTGATGTATTCCTCTGCCCAAAACTTGTTGAAGATTGGTTGATAAAAACAAGGTTGGCCAAGGTCTCTACATTTTTTTCGGTTCAACATGTGTGTTGCCATGTCTTGCCAAACGTTTCAAGAAAATGCAGCTGTTAAACAACATTTTTCTACAAAATGATTCAATATGCCTTGGTAAAAAAAACCTTGCCATTTGGGGGGTAGCTCAAATGATCCTCATGTGCGAGACAAATTAACGGAACAGTCACAAGTCACAAGCCTGGAAAACGAGAAACAAACGATAAAGATCGATGTTCTTAGGGGCCTGTTCTAATCATTTTCTAGAAATGTTTATGCCTGTTCTACACGTTCAAATTTTCAAGAAAATAGGCACATGGAAGTGCAACTCATCATCAACTCACGACTTGTTCTCTAGAAAATATCAAGAATAGCATGAAGCTGCACCAGTCAAAAAACCAAAGAAATGTGTGTCAAAATCCAAGACCCAAAATAAATCATGTTTTCCCTAGAAAATGAATTGCCTAACCCTTCCTGAAACCGGCACCCTATATTCCCCAGGGAACCCCAGAAAACCTCAAATTAGTCCCCCAGGAACTAAAAATCCACTTCAAAAAAACATGATCCAAGGAATCCCCCCAAACAATGATGTCATCGACCCTTTCATGTTCAGGCATTTTCTAGACAAAAATTAAATGAGCCAAGGGTTTCCCAAAATACTAATGTCTCTGTTTGGCTTACACTTCATTCAAACAATATTGCACATTGGCAGCGGCACTTCAATATTTTGGCACTTTCGAGTGCGCCCTGAAGTTCCGTCTGCACAATTTTGGAATAGAAAGTTCAAAAAAAAACATATCATCACATGACATTTCAACAAAATCTCGATAAATTATGGAGAATTTATATATGTTTCCTGGATACCCGAAATCGTCTAGAAAACGCATGGCGCAATCAATTTGGCTCTTGATATCAATCTAGCAACTGTCTAGAAAATAACTTGATATGGAAGGATGAACTTGGCCCTGGGTATGGGGTTTTTTAAGCATTCCCCAGGAATGACCCAGGAAGCATTCGGACAAGAGTTCGATTGTTTTTTTTTTTCTTCCAGCCCTTATCTCTCTAGAAAATGGTCAGGCACAGTTACATATAAAATTATTAAGGACCTTTTCGAACTTCCCCAGGAAATGTGGGAAAATTGACTGGGCGGGCAGTTTCTAGCTAGAGAATGGGTGAACTTGAGTTCACCCATGCTCTTCTGGGAAATTTCAATGAGGATATTTTTTCTGTTTGGCTCGTGCCTCACTGAAAAGATATCTTTTCTTGGCACTTCAAAATTTTTGGCACACTTGACTGAATCCTGAAGTTCATTCTTCACACTTTTGGAATAGAACATTGAAACGCATCTTGTCACATTTCAGAAAAACCTAGATGAATTTGGATCTATTTTGTGATGCTTTGGGGCGCCCCAATAGAGGTCTAGAAAATGCACTGCACAATCAATTTGTCTCTTGATATCAATCTAGCAGCTGTCTAGAAAATGACTTGATATGGAAGGATGAACTTGGCCCTGGGCATGGGGCTTTTTAAGCATTCCCCAGGAATGACCCAGGAAGCATTCGGACAAGAGTTCGATTGATTTTATTTTTTTTTCAGCCCTTATCTATCCTTATCTCTCTAGAAAATGGTCAGATACATTTACATATAAAATCATGAAGGACCTTTCGGACTTCCCCGGAAAATGTAGGGAAAATGACTGTTCAAGCATTTTCTGTCTAAAGAATGGGGTCACTTGAGTGACCCCATTCTCTATAGGGAAATTTCCATGGGGATCTTGTTTCAATAGCTTTCCCTCAATTGGTCCACTTGGCTTGGGGGTACCCATCCCATCGCCGCCTCTTGGTCCGAGTCTTTACGCTCCATCAGCCTGACTTTCTGTGAGTTTCGGCAATCCAAAACACAAATCCGGACTGTCCGCTTTACCTTCATATCCTTGAGACTCGTTGCTTCTGTACCAGTATAACAGCAGCCATAAAATGTCAGAAATATCCACGAACAGGATCAACTGGCAGGGAATGTAGGTGGCTGTTGTGGTTCCCCCTTCACCCGCACCCGATGGGCCCAAAGGTATCGACCCATCCCCAGATCGACCCATCCCCAGATCAGCATGTTTCTTTCTTCTTAAATGACCTAAATCCACCAAATCTCAATTGCTGGTGGTAAACAACTCACTTTGGTTGATTAAATCCATGTTTTTGATTGGTTCCTTTCCTTCTTTCCATTGGCATCATCGTTAAACGCTCCACAAACGCCAAGAACGGCCCCACGGAGTGGAGCTGACTTCAAGGGACTCGGAAAGCATCCCTCTGACAGTTTGGAGCTCCTATGGAACGGAGTGGAGTTAAGGTGACGTTTGGCGAATATGAATTGGATTTCATCAACAAACATGGTTGTTTGTCAGTGGTTTGATCAACAAAAATGGCGGCTTAATGGGGATGTAAGAGGGATACATCGGGATAAATTGTACCCGGATTTGTGTCCTCAGGCATGCCCGGAAAAGCTCCATCAAAAATGGAGGTTTGTCGAACTAAAGGGATGCTTCTCCAGCAAACCATGTTTGATTACCGGAGGGTAGGGCCTTATGTTTGGGGTTAGCCCCCATCAACCCTTCTGCATGGGCCCTAAACCTGTCGTGAAATTACCTCTGCGGTATACCCTCAGATGTCTATGAATGGTAGGCGTGTGATGCCTATTACTATATGAGGGGACACACGATGCCTGTACTCTTGCAGTAAAACAGAGAGCTCACTAGAGCCAAAGGGTTTCCCGACCACGAAGTAGATGGGTTTGTCTGAAAATGGGGTACTTCAAGATACTTCCAAAATGGTTAGTTTCATGGGGAACATCAATTTTCACCAACAGGCTGAAGCGGCTATTGAAATTTTGGAGAAACCCAGATTTGATCCCAACTTTCAGGGGGCACATCCGTTGGAATCTTCAATGAGACACACAGAAGCATAGAAAATCAAGTTGTGACTTGTGACCTGACATCATTTGAAGTTTCAACATCGCAATGACCTAAAAACAACAACCTGCAGCAGATACCTTATGGTAACTCAACAGTTAGCCATGAAAAATAACCATGTTTACTAAATCAATCTTTATATAAATGGGCCATGTTCCATAGGATATTTTAGCTTCCCCATTATACCCAGCAACTCCGGACAGTCCTTGTAGAGACCAGCGCGCGCATAGGGCGGGACGTTGTAAGAGACCAAACAACCGTAGCCACGCCTGGTTTTTTTGGTAGATTTTGGACGTATGTCTATACATCATGATACATCATCTAAACACATACGCACCGCATAGTATTATATAGACACTTATATACATTGATAATTTATCATTCTTTCCAGGGTGATGTTAGCTTAAAAGAAGAACATCTATCCACATCTGGTGTGACCCTTGGGCGATCTCCAGCAAGCCATGGAGCTGATGTATGCTGATGTTGCGCGGACAAGCTGCCCTAGAAACATCCATTACCACAAGCATCCAGAGAACACCAGCAGGCACATCATATCAGATCTGAAAGGGCTCTGAGCTGCCAAAACAAGACATGGACATGGAACGTTCGCAACTCATCCGCAAGATCTTGACTCGGGTGCGGGTCAAAACCTTGTAGGTATGGATGTTCATCCCCCATTCATGTGGAAAACATCTAGGTTTAGGAGGATGTTTCCAGCTGCCTTTTTTTTAACGCCAATGAGTTTCCAGCTGCTACCCCTTGCGCTTGGGGAAGTCTGGATGAGGATTGATCCATCCCCACAGCAATTGCTGGGCAGGATTCCCCTGATCCTAACCATCCATAGTCAGCTTGCTATATATATATATATAAATCATATATATATTATATTATATATCATATGATATACTATATTATATTACCAAATATATATATATATAAATAAATAAAAAAAAATATATATTGGTAGGCATAACTCCCTTTTGTTTTCACCGGATTCTGCATGTTTCACCGCCAGGCCCTGCGCCTCTTTGCCAAAATGGATTCGCTGGGGTTGTTGGCCGCGTACAAATACCTGGGCCCCACGAATGATGGCTACGAATCGGCTACGGATGGCTACGGGTTGATGGTTGAACCACATCTTTTTCTGGGATGATCCATCATCAAGCACTTTTTTCTATGGGATTATGCGATGTTTCTGGGTTGATGGTTGAACCACTCATTTTTCACATCGCATCAAATTGTTTCATGGTTGATATCCCCATGATAATCACTATATTAGGGGTGAACTATGGGTTATGGATGGTTAATGATGGTTATGGATGATCAACCACGAATCCAATTTGTGGGGCGCGATGGGGCCCGCGGAAACGGATGAGCTCCAGTGATTGGATGACCAGTGATTCAGCAGGTTGAATTCTATTGGGTGCTAAAGTAGCCATGGCTGGAATTTTTCACGTCACAAAATCTTGGGAAAGAACATGTGATAAACACGTGATACATTTGTTCTTAAATTTGGGGCTAAGCCAGCCGTATTAGTCAAATTCTGTGAATTTCTATGTGTTCCATGTCAGAATTCAGAGGTCTGAAGTCTTGATCCATCTGGACCTGTGAGATCGAAAGACGTCTCGTTTGAGGTGCCACAACAGGTCCATATCCCCAAGATATTGGTCAGTCTATGCCAGGCCTGATTCCGAAGATCTTCTCTTGTTTGAAAGGTGTCCTTCCCCCGATTGGTTGGTGAAACATCTCCGTTTTCTCAGCGTACACCAGCTTTGGATCATCTAGGTGAATACAACAACATCAACAACTTTTCCAGAGGTGTGTCGGTGAGACTTAGCCCCAACATAACTATGGGAAATCACCATTTTTAATAGGTAAATCCACTATAAATGAGCCATTTTCCATGGCTATATTAAATAACCAGAGGGTAAGCCCAAAACTGTGTTTCAAAGCAGAGTTCACCGTCTGTCGCTCCACATTTTGAGATAACCCTCAGAACTGCCCGCGTCAAGAGGTCCGAGTGTCACATTGGGCAAGCCTCCTAGAAGCTGATCCGGCCAACCTTAGGGAGCTTTGGTTGCGTTCAACCCCTCTTGGTTGATGATTCTCTGGGGTTAGACTATCCAAATCTATCCAATAATATCCAGTATATTGGGGAGTTGTCGTCAATCCTATCATGGGCCCCATAGTATTAATTAAATGATCCAATATATTGGGGAGTATCATGCATCCATGATAGAATTATAAACCATTATAAACCCGCAACCCGAGCGAATCTAACAAGTTGACAAGGCTATCAACAAAAACGGGTGGGACTGATATTCTGCAAGCAGCAAACAAAAGAGGGTACAACCAGGAAAAGAATGGACACATAACCAACAAAGAATGGGGGCCAAGAACAACCCGCGGGGTAGAACCAATAAAATCGAACCATGTACAACCAACAAAGAGTGGGGCAATCCAACAGGACACTGAGCCACCATTAAATCAATGGGTCATCTGTTTTCGATAACTTGACGCCTGGGTAGACTGTCCAGAGGGAGATCAAAATCTCAAGGTTGATCATCATTTTCGCTATGATCAGATTGCCATATGTATTCATATGATTTCATATGTGGTTGGGGTAAATATATGGGTAAATCCTCCGCAAGCCGCAAGCCCCAAGCAGCGACTGATGTTTCCACGGATGATTACCAGTCAAGTCCTCGAGTAACCGTGGACCCGTGGACCCACACTTGAAGGAAAGGTCACCATCTTGGGGCTTAACATCTTTATTTTGACCACCATAACTTGGGGACCTTAAAAGAAATGTGTCCAGAAAGAAAACTCAACAAACTCGCTGTCAAAAAAATCCAGTGTTGAATTCGGTGTACTTCGGCCAACGTATATATACCATTCTGTAATTTACCAGCTTTGCTATGAAAGCCACGACCCGTTCGATGACACATCCCACTTTATTAATTTTCATGATCACAACTTTTTGAAGTGATCGCCAGAGAGTATCCCCAATTTACCCTCTGGTAAACTAACATAGCTATTGAACATTGCCATAGAAATAGTTGATTTACCCATTAATAGCATTGTGATTTTCCATAGTTTTTTTATTAACGTTTACCAGAGGGTAATCCAATTTATATATCCTGGTTGGTGGTATACCTACCCCTCTGAAAGGTGTGAGTTCGTCAGTTGAGATGATTTTCCATTCCCAACTGAAAGTCATAAAAAAACAAACCACCAACCAGCAATTTATACCCTCTGGTAAACGTTAACAAACAACTATGGAAAATCACCACGCTACTAATGGGAAAATCCACTATAACTGGCCATTTTCAATAGCAAACTGTAACAAATTACCAGCAATTTATATATCCCCAATGGAGAAGTCTCCCCGGTATCTCCCCATTCCGGAGAAGTGACAGGAGCCCATGTTGCCCAACGGTCGCCCCGGAAGCCACTCTGCCGTGCCATGCCTGAAACAGGAGCCACGACCGAATAACCGTGTTTTTCGGTGTGTCTAAGTATACACCCATGGGATGGGATTCAATCATATGCCATAGTTTTATGGGATTGATTTTTCAGAATATGATTGATTTTTTGTCAATAAAACTCTGAAACATGAACAAGAAATGGGGATGATACAACTCCGTTTTGTATCGTTTTGTGGCATTCAACTAGAACTTGCGAGATAATTTGAATGTGATATCAGCAAAAGTGATTGGAAGTTCTGAACGAAGAATATGTTACTATCGTTGAGACGGTTGGAACTGCAGCTTTTCATCTGTGGGATATTATCGCAGCAAGATTTGGGACTGCAAGCAGCAACACTGGTGCAACAGTGGTCCATTTTCCTCGTTGGTTTGTTCAGCCTTGTCGAGACAACAGTTAAACAGTTGGATATAAACTATAAATCAGTTCTGGGGGTCATTACGGGTCCAGTAAACAAACATAGCTATGGACAATTCACCATGAAAGCAGATGATTTCTGAACGGTCCATAGCTTTTTGTATGTTTACTGGAGGGTCTTTACCCTGATCTTCAGACGACCATCCCTTTTTCCTTGACTCAGTCACGGCCAGATCCCACACGGCAGGCCGAGTGGCATGCCAAAATGCACCACCACATCAGCCTGCAGCTCCTTGGGAGGATTTGTGTTTCCATCCCAAATTCTGGGGATGAATCCCAGGTCCCACGGATGAAACACCCGTTTGCTGAAAACAAGATTGGGTTGCTAAGCGGCAGAAGGGGTGACATTTTGGAGAGTTGCTTGATGTTGCTTGGGCAATTTTTTCCCGTTGGGATAATTTTGGGATATCTGGGCACATCTTGTACACAACAATCCTCAATCTCTTCATCAGTCCTTTGTTATTCGACTCGCAGGTCCTTGCAAAACCTCAGAACCTGGTTGAGATCTGTTGAACACCTTCATCGTCCAACATCCCCTCCGGAAAAACTCACATAGCGATGGAACATGGATGAACATGGACCATTTGAACATGATCTACCTCTTAAGAATGGTGATTGTCCATAGCTATGTTAACTTACCAGAGCCTATTCCATATTTAAACCTCCATTTATAGATTATATTCAGTGATATTTCCCATATTTTCCCAGCTATAAACCTTCACCGGCCCTTCAAGCCGAGTATCATTCTCGATGTACTTGTAGAATGCCACGTATTGTGGATGCGGCGTCATGTCTCTTTCAAACCTCGACTCAGATTCGTCAGATTTGCCCCGGAGCTCCCAAGACATCACCGGAGTCAGCAAGTGGTGGGATGTGAATCATAAAAAACATCAAATATTGGCGGGTTTTATGCTCCTTGGTCTTGAGCCTCTACTCATTTCTGGCCCAAATCTACCCAAGTTCCATCATATTGGACGCATACTGTATGGGACTTGGAGGAATAATCTCGCATGTCCGATGAGGGAGCTTTATGTATTAGTGGAATCCAAACACTTCAAAATCACCATGAAAGAATAAATCAGGAATTCAACAATCTTTCAATCCACCCATCATTTTATCAATTTACACGTGAGACTTAACTGAGCTCAATCGAGTTAATCTGCATCCATGTGGTCAGAAAAAGAGCTTCTTCGCGGCTCGACCTAGCCCCCAATTTTGGGAATATGTCTGTGGGTCAAGAATGTGATAGTTCAAACATTGGAGGGTTATGCTCTGGCTATACAACGTAGCGATCGAAAATAGCCAATTTATAGATATATATCAATGATTTATGACGATTTATGATGATTTACCCATTAAACATGTTCCATCCATAGCTATGTTAAATTGCCAGACGATATTTCACAGTAAAACCTACATTTGTAATCATTGTATAGATGCTGTTCCCATATAAATCATATTTTTCCAGTTATATAATGTTATATATATATATCCATTTATAGACGGTGTTCTCATACATTTTCCCAGTTATCAATCTCCATTTTTCATCATTTTTCATCTGGTTAGTGGTTTCAACCTCTCTCAAAAATATGAGCCACTTCGTCCTTTGGGATGATTTTTTCCATTCCCAACTGAATGGAAAAATCACATTCATCTTCTAAACCACCAAGCAGATAGAAAGTTACATGCTATGGTTATGTTGATTTCCCCTAACCATCCAGCTATTTGGGCATCCCCTAGGAACCCCCATAGACTGTTTGAGCCAGTTGAGCCGAGTATGGTTGCGACCAGAAGGTTTTAAATTTTAAACTAAAGTTTTAAACGTTTGTTTGCAGACTAAAAAGGTCAGTGTCGAAACCTTGCCTGGACATCCGTGGCGGGAGAGGGGGGGGGTCGGCAGAAACAAACTAACTAATGGAAAAAAGGTTTGTTTTGGAGGAGGAAAACAAACGTTTTCGACGGATGGTGAAACTATAGTTTCGGGCCTTCAAAACAAAGGTTTTCGACGGGAAAAGTTAGTTTCCGGGGGGTGAAACAAACCTTTTCCAGGAGGGGTCGGCGAGGGTTGAGAAACAAAAGTTTCAAAACTAGAGTTTTAAGTTTCCGAAACAAACTTTTCCAGACCAAGGTGAGAGAGTTAGTTTGTTTGCAACCACGGCCACACGCTTGGCAACTATTTTCGCCGTGCGAACTGGTTCGGTTAGCCTCGGCGGGCGTATTCTACAACTAGCTTCCGGTTGGCATAACTACTGTTATGCCATTCATTGACCGCGCGCTGCGCGGCAGCTGGAGCAGCATAGCGAATGATAGCAGCGGCGTGCTGCGGTTTGTAGCGAACCTTGGTAGCAAAGAAACAGCAACAAGGAACAGCAGCCAACAACAACCCAACAATAACCAACAGCAACTAACAACAACCAACCAGAACAAGAACAAGAACAGGAACAAGAACAAGAAGAAGGACAAGAACAAGAACAAGAACAACAAGCAACCGCAACGAGAACAAGAATTAGAAGCGAAGACAGCAGCAACAGTTCAAGAGCACAATCTTAGAATGTCGAAACAAGACGCCAGTTGGGAACAAAAGAAGCAGAATATGATGCGACAGACACGAAGCCCTTTCACACGGAACTGTTTTGGAGATGGAATTGGTTTGCTAGCATGGAAACCAAAAGGAACTATCGTTATATGAAGATCACGCCGGCTGAGATGATGTGGAACAATGTGGATCGCATCGAACAGAAGGAAACAGGGGTGTAGTATATTGAAGTAATTATTAGACGTTGCTGCAAAGAGGCATCCACATGCACAATGGCTCCCAAAACAGCGAAGTCAGCGCGCAGCTGTTCTGCTGTGATGTCTGCGGGAAGGTTCGCCACGAGCACCACACGACGACCTGGCGCACAAGAGCGGAAAAAGAAATTCGGCACCAAAAAAGAAAAGTATAGACGGAAGAAATATAATGTCAAATGCTGTGCCGGGCCTGGGGAGCGGCTGCGAGGCGCGTCAGCATGCAGATCAGGTTGTCCCGGATGGTGACGGTGGCCTGCCACAGCTACAATATGAGGATATGGATATATTGTTTCGGACACGACGTGCCTTCATTTGTTATCATCCCATGGCCAGGGGTCGCTACCGGCGCAGCAGCTGGAGAACAAAGAGCATGCAAAGCGTCCATGTTGAGCAGTCGGTAATGTTGCGGTCCTGCAAAAGAAAAAGGAATCAGCAGAAGCAGACGTTTGTTTGAAAAGAAAACAGTGCAGGCAAGCACACCGAGCACACCCGAGGCGCCGACCAATCCAAGGCGATGCTGCGTCGTAAGTTGCCAGAGTGTCGGCGCCGAGTTGGACGTAGCCGTCCAGACGAACGGATTGCACTGTTTTGGTAACAACCTGGCAAGCTGGTGGGTAACAAAATGCGAAAAGCCTAGTATACAGATTTAAAGTGACAAAGAGGTGGAATTGAAGAAGTGGGCCGTGCAAAGAAACTGTTAAAAAGGGAGAAAAAGGTCAATGGACTACGAAGCACCTCGGAAGCGTTCGCTGCCGAGTACAACACCGTTTTGCCGAGCAAGTCACCATAGCCAGCAGACATGGGGAGCACTGACAGACAGGGGGCGAGGAAACACGTAGAAAAAGGCTGCGGAGCTGGAGCCAGAACAATTTTATTTGCGGCGTAGGTACAACCGACGGCTGGTGGAAACACAACAAAGCTGGAAACACAACAAAGCTGTCGACTGAGTAACGAGACTTGCTGTAGCTAGAGGATATATACTGTCAACCGAAACAGAGTTGAAACTTGAAGCTGCAACGCGCTGATGCTGAAAGTTTTACCGGTGTCTGACTTCGAGATGTCGTATGTCGAAACACGTCCTCTTGTGTGGAAGCATCAGGAAGGCGGCACCGTAGGTGGAGGCAGTGGCGGGGCAATGCCGAGAGCGACCGGAGGAAGCTGGAGAAGCGACTCAGCGCGTTGACGTTTGGGAGGCGGCTCTTGTGCAGGAATTTCCGGAACAGTCCAAGGGGCTTCACGCGGAGGATTGTCTGCGAGCATCAGTCGAAGTTCACGAAGCAAGGACCTGGCGGCAGCAACTTTGGAATCAGAGTGCGTCATAGCATGGTTTGGCACGTTGGCACTAGCAAGCTCTTTGGCGACGGATTGGCCGCTTGGCCATTGCACATAGATAGGAGGTTGGGGTGCTGCGGTGTTCGCTAGCAAAATGCAAGCATCGTTGGTGCTGAATGCCGTGGACGTGGGTGTGGCAGCCGCATTGAGGTGAGCGGACAACGGAAACTTGCACACCTTGGTGATCTTGGGGCCACGAGTATTTTCTGTAACCGCGATTGCCTGGAAGATAATCAAGGCTGACAAGGCCGAATTCTGCATTTTGGCAATGCGACGCACCATCTCTTCAGGCAGCTGGCGCCACATTTGATGAATTTCCTTCAAAGGAATCACCGTTTTTTTGAAGCTAGAAGCCCAGAAATTGCTGTCACAAAGGCAACTGAATCTGTAGTTGCTGTGGTTGCGACAGAGTCGCTAGAAACCAAAGCCACATCGGGAAAACTAACCCCAAAGGCATCCACAGGGGCCAGGGGCGCGCTTGGAACAGAAGCAGGAGCAGGAGCAATCGTCGGCATGGGTTGTAGGTGGTTGGCTTGCGCCGGAGCAGCCACATACTTTTGGCCAGACAATGTTTGAAAGTGCGGCCGTTGGTTGTCGAGAAAGTCCAACACAGAGGCTGCAACCTTCAGGTCGCCTGCCGCGATGGCGTTGTGTACATCCGGGACAGCTTCTTGCGCAGCACGCGCAGCTGCCCGGTGAAAGAATTGTTCCAGGAAAGCATGTGGCAATGCATACCGCAAGACTTTGGTCTTCTTCTTCGAAAGGAAACTGGCACGGCTTCGGTCTCCGGTGGTATTTGCAAGAAGTTGTTGCTCCACTAGATCGTCATACCACTTTTCAAATTCAGGTGCATCGGCCAAAGGAACACGAACAAAGCCAGTGAACTTTTCCAGCAGCGGTTCCACCGCATCCGAGTGGAAGTGTTGCCACATGGCTGCGAAGCCTGAGTTAAACCGGTCGACGCAAACATGCGAACGGCAAACAGTGCGGGAATCTGAGTGCAGACGAGGTGCAAGCTGCGGCAAGGCAGACCCATAGACGGAGTCTTTGTCGAGATCTGCTGGGAAGTCAGCGAGATGGTTGACCTGTGGAGGAAGCACGAAAGTGTCGAGGCGACTGTCTACACCGAGTTCGTCACCGTGATAGAAACATTTGTGCTTGTCTTCCAAATGACCAGCCATGTAGATCACCAGCAACGGCTTCTCCAAGGTGAACTCTTTGCTGTAGTCTTGGACGTCGTGGCTGTAGTCGTCACGATCCCAAAGCTTGCACAATGTGGTAGCAGGAAATGCACCAGAAACGTTGCTTGCAGAGCTCATGAACTTTTTGCACTCGTGCAGCACAACGAAACCGCGCCCTTCATTCTCGGGCGCAGACATGGAATGGCACCAAGCGACGGCGGAGCCGTCGTCGCAGATCGTCTTTACTGTTCGGGCTACGGGCTTGGCTGGCATTCCATCTGCGCCGCCTTGCTGTTTCCATTTCTGGAGGTTGGCTTTGTAGAGGGCATTGTAATGTTCTTGGAGTTGAGCACGGCGAACTTTGAGAATCTCCTTGATGAAGTTCACAACTAGACTTTTGCCGTCGCCAGACTTGCCAAGCTGTAACTTCCAAGTGACTGCGGGAACATCCAACAGCTCCGTATAGCGGGCAACCACATTGGGCAGTTCGAAGCAAGCCAAAGAATGCAGAGCCATGTAGATCGCAGCTGGAGAACTAGACAAAGCTTGGCCACGGGAAACACAAAAACCCCACACATGAGGCGAATGTTTTTCAAGGATTTCCGATGGGAAAGGGATGGCAAGCGCAGCATCATAGCGAGCATCGACTTCACGCTCGTCCAACTGAAAAGGCACCGGTGGGGTCCGCTGGCCGCTGGGAGACTTCTGCGTGGTTGGCGCAGCGCGCAGATGCATTGACGCCGCCATAGTGGGGACGCGGAAGACCAGTGCTACGGAAACAAGTCAGGAACTCAGAGCTTTATACGGCAACGGTGATGGTGAGAAACTGATCAATTCCGTGGGTAGCACTGGAACATGCAGACGGCACGGGCAAGAACTGGAAACAAACGTATCTCCGCGACCAAGGACAGAGGAAGATATATTTGTTGAGAACTGATTATCAATGTGCTTTCGTTGGTTGGGGCAGTACTGCTGCACGTACACACAAGCGAACAAAGTTCGACGGCCGTTGCTGAGACAATTGAAAGCAGAGAAACAAAGACATGCTTTTCTCGCGAAGCCGCAGAGAAGGAATTGCTGTCAAGGAGACATTGAATCTAATCTACAACAACGACCGCATTGGTATATTCGAAAATCAAGGCTGCCCGGATGTTCTTGTAGACGAATTTGACGAGGAAGAGCTGGCGATCAGGAGGCGAGCCGCCGCAGAGCCAGTGGCCAGTGGCCGTCGTGGCTTCTGCAAGGAAAGCAACCAAGGCAGGGAAGGGATTGTAGTCTTGGAAGCGTTGCACGAGCTGCACAGGATATGGGTCGCCTGCTTCGTAAGGATGGAGAGCCCAACTGGAGCAACGTAGCAGTTGCGCCAAACGGTGATCGAAAGGTAGGCGATCAAAAGTTTCCATGCGTAGAATGCCTTGAATCCTTTCGTTGATGCAGGGGCAGAAGATGCTGTGAACAAGAGCGCGTTCAAAGGATTGCACCATGTAATTGTAGCGCTGGTGGCATTGGTTGCGTACCTCTGCTACCCAGTCGCGGGCAGCGGCAAACCGTCCAGCGGCAAGGAGCTGCAAAAGAGCCACCAGGGGTATCAGGTCCGAGGCGTGAACCACAGCAAGGACAGCCAGGAGCAAAGGCGACATGGCGAATGGGTCGCGGGAACCGCAGCGCAAGAACTGGAGACGGAGCGAGTCGCAACGTGAGTAAGGAGCTGCATGGTGGGCATTTGCGCTGAGCAATGTTGTGTGGAAAAGAGCACTAGCCCGCAATGTTAAAAGTGTGATTTCAGTCCGCGAGGTACAAACAAGCCTTGTTCGTGCTAGAAAGCGTGGACATGTATGCATACAGGAGCTAGATGCAAAGACACGGTACTTTGCCAGAAAGTGATCGGACACCCGAGGCGAGAAATATGGAAGCAAGGAACTGTTGACAATATGCTGCGAAGCGACAAGTTGCCTTTTGTCAGACAATTGAGCAGAACATGAAAGGTGAAACATGGTGAAACAAAGTGTTTCCAATATGCTGCGAAGCGACAAGTTGCCATTTGTTCAGACAATTGAGCAGAACATGAAAGGTGAAACATGGTGAAACAAAGTCAGGATCGTCGTGCTACCATTTGTGTATTGCGGAGGTGGGCAACGCGGTGCGCAAAGAGCAAGTATTCTGCACGACCCATCGCACGCATGGTATGGCGGAACTTGTTCAGCAATCGAAGTGTTCAGGCCGTAGAGAAACGTAACCACAAAGGGTAAAGTTGATCGTGCCAGACGATCCACCAAGTCAATGCGAGCCGAAACAAAGTGCCTGGTGGCAGCTAGGGCGGGATCGGCTGCAGGACGTGACCACGCAATGAATTCTGAGTGGCGCGGCAACCGAACTTTTTGGATTTGAATGACGCGAAAGAGCCTGCCAGAGAGAATGTCGAGTGCGTTCAAGAAACGCGCTCGCGTTCTGGAATCGGTGATCGTCAGCATCGTAGCAGTCGCATGGGCAGGGCGTTGAATTTCGAGACTGATCGGCAAAGGAGCAGCAGCAAATTCTGCTAAGGCTTGGCAAGCAACACAGCAAGAAGCATTGGCGACAGAATACAGCCGCATCGAACGACCACGTCCAGATTGCCACGGCCACCCAAAGCGAGCTTGCAAGGATCGATGCCGAAGCACCTTGCCGTAGCCATCCAAGTGTGATAGAAGTCGCTTCCGACAAGCTTCCGAAGTGACAGTGACGCTCACGCGGTCGTCGGCTGTCAAGCGCGTCAAGGGGTTGTGGTGGAGGAAGCACTTCGAGCGAACATGGCCATAGAGATGGAACAAATCAATCCAGACATCGAGCGCACGAAGACGAGGATCAGGATGACGTCGCAACAATTCAGCCAAGTGGCAACCATCATCATAGCCCACGCTTTGCAAAGCTGGGTTGGCAGCTGCAAGCTCTTGCATGGCGTGGACTGCGAAACTTAAAGACTCGGCAACCACCACTTCCCGGAGGAAGCCAACCAGACCGCAGCCACAGAAAGAAGCGGCAAAGATGCCAACGCACCGGGCACGGCCACCGTGTCCTTTCTCTTTGTGCGTCGAGCAATCATGAGTTGGATACCGCCGGGCACGGGGTTGACACTGTGCACGAAGCTGCGACTCCTGTGACCTGAGCGCACAAGGGAGCCAGACGGAGAAAGACCATGGGCGGAAAAAAGACGTAACAGAAAACGTCGCGTGTCGTTATGTGCAAGTCTAGGAACGAGTGCGCCGAGCAGGTGCGGCAAGAGCGACGAACTTTCGCACCACAGATTTGTTTCAGCTGCAAGGTTGGGATTGGCAGAGGTTTCGCCGGTAAGGCTACTTCGCAGACCTGTGTTCGAAAAAGCTTCCAGCCACCATCCAGGATCATGCGATTCGCACATCCGGGTATCCCACAGACAGCTCTGTGTTGGAGGCACCAACACCGTTGAAAGGCATCTATCCATTGGGGTTGCCACAGTTCCAGCTCCGATTCAAAGGCGGCAGCATCGCGCCAATATATTTGCAGCATAGCGGCGCCAGAAGCCGGTGTAGCACGGTGCCCATGGAAGTATGGCACGCCTGGGCAAAGCAGGGGTGCGCAAAATGCTTGAAAGAAGAACTGCTCAAACACAACTGCGCAAAGTTAAACATGCAAGCAGAGGCACCAGACAGCGCCAGGAAATCGATGAGAGCAAACAAGAGGTGAGCACGAGTGAAATGATAGACTGTCCAATCAGTGCTCCACTGCATAGTTTGCCAGAATGCGGCATACCCACGCATGAAGCCAAGGTAGGACAAACCATTGCTTGCCTGCAGGCTTTCGTAGTAGCGCACAAGGTCGATGCCGAAAGCAACTTCAGAAAAGCCCGTCTGCAGGCAAAGATACTGGGACGGGTCGCCTGCAAGTTCCATGCGAACCTCATTATGCAAGAGCGGACCAGGGACGACAAAGTTGTGGAAGTACAAAGTTTGGCAGCCGCTGCAGAACAGAGGCACGTGGAGGTACTCGATGGGGCCGTAGTAGTGCGTGAGCACAGTGGTTCGCCACTGCAAGTTTCCTTTGGGAAACAAGGCACGGCGATTCAACGGCAGCACATCAGCATGGGTAAGTCTCCGGAGTGCGGAAACACTGCAGTAAACACAGCGGCGACCTCCCCATTGCAAAGTACGCTCCGCCATGGCGACGGCTAGCGTCGAACGAATGAAGAGGTTGCAAGCTGGGAAGTCTCGAACGAAGATGGCCAGGTCAGAATGGAAACTACTTTTGCAGTCAGTTGTCAATCATCGGACTCGGTTCCTTCCCGCTTGAAAGACGAAGCCAAGATGATCCAAGCCCGTGTTACGGGGAAGGTCGAGACCAGAAGCAAACGGCGGAGCCGTGCGTGTTGGAAAGACGTGGCGGAGCCGGAAAGGTGGTGCTTGGATGGCGGAGCCGTGTATGTTGGAAAGACGTGGCGGAGCCGGAAAGGTGGTGCTTGGCTGGTGGAGCCGTGTATGTTGGGAACAGACACTTGCGGAAGCGGAGCCGCAAAAGTTAGGCTTAGATGGCGGAGCCGTGCGGGTTGGAAAGACGTGGCGGAGCCGGAAAGGTGGTGCTTGGATGGCGGAGCCGTGTCTGTTGGGAACAGAAGGCGGAGCCGGAACGCACGTTGGATGAAGTGTGAAAAGCAAAACCAAAATCAACCAAAAGAAAATACACGGACGACAAAAGGAAGCGAAGACGGTAGGCACAAACATTTGCGGAAGCAAAACATTAGTTGCCAGAAAGAAAACAAAAGTTTGGAAACTATAGTTTTTTCAGCGGAAACAAACGTTTTGCGGAAACGTTTGAAACAGCACGAAAAAAACAAACACAGTACCCCAATGGTGGAAAGGTTTATTTTTCCGGAAGAAACCAAAGTTTGCCTAAGGGTTTGTTTCCAGTGACAAAACAAACTTCGCACAATATACTTTCAAACAAAGGTTTCCAACAAAACAAACAAACAAAACTACCGAAAAAAAGGTTTGTTTTGGAGAGTTTCAAACTAGTTCGGTGGAAGTTTGTTTCAAGGTTTCGGTTTAGAAACAAAGGTTGTGGAAAAAGGTTTGTTTGCGACGAGAAAACAATTCTTTTCGATCAAAAACTTGTTTCCACAGGAAAAACCTTGGTTTTCAATGAGGTTTCCAGCCGTGCCAATGCATATTGGCAGCAAACGTTAGTTTCGACTGCAGAAACAAACCTTTTCTTGTGCCGCTGAATTTCCTATCATGAAACTGAGGTTTTGCAACGGGGAACGTTTGTTTTTACTGGAAAACAAACTCTTGGGTGCAACCCTACTGGTTGAGCCATACCTCGGTTCACCGAGGTACAGCAGCCTCATGGGATCACCCGGAATTCCCAAGGGAGGCTGAACTGCCAGCCAAACCTGCGAACCAGCGAATCGTGTCTTGGCGAGGGGGCGGATGGTGGCCAGTCGGGGGCGAGGCTAGGAAGCCGGTCAAGTCACAGGAACTGCGAACTGGAAGCCATGGCCCATAGAAATAGATGGTTTACCTGTAATGGTGATTTGCCATAGTTATGGAAAACGTTTACCAGAGGGTAAATGTCCTAATTTTTCACATCGCCCAAATAATATGATAGAATCTCCAACAGATACGGCTTTTCAAGTGATGTTCAAAGTCTCCAAAATGGGACATTTACCAAACCCTGAGGAATGAAATCCCATTGGCTAATATGATGCGCATATATGAAGCAAGAAAAAAAACGCTGCTCTCAACGTCCCAACATGTCTCAACTTTCCGAAAAACATGAAAGAGTAACTGTAAATTTCCCTGAAAATGATGCTTTCATTTATGGCAGACTTTGTCAACACAATGGACGACACCCCAATCTGTGGCCATGACGGGATTCTGAGGTACCTACAGAGATTCCTCGATGATGTGCGTCCTCTTTGTAGCTTCATATGGAGGTTTCGTAAAATGGGACCCCCAAATGGTTGGTTTATCATGGAAAACCCCAATCTAAAATGGATGATCTAATTAGGGGTACCCCCATGACTCAGGAAACCTCCATATACAGAATTCAATGTGGAGAGTTCCAGAATTTCAGCAGCGTTCAAAAACCTGTGGTCCCTTTATCTGTTTTTTCTGTTGGATATCTCATACTGGAGGATGATCCAAAATCTGCTGGGTAGCATAACCTACAATCATCAATCAACCATGGTTTATCAACGATATTCACATCTTTTGAGGGTTCAAACCCTAGAAAAAGCTAGAACACACATTAAAAACACCTATAAAACCCTATAAAAATGGTGGTTAATAATCAGCAATCAACAGGGGTGTCTTGCAGCCACTGTAATGCCGCTCCCCCTGTCAGGAGGAGGATACAATTTCTCATGACACACATACACACATAAAAAACATAATCATATGTGCAGCTATTTTTATTGCTATTCTATACTAACAGCTAAATATACATACAGGTCTGTATATATATATATCACATTTTAACATAATCATATTAAATCACATTAACGTACGTAAAGATAGCCCATCATCATCATCATCATCATCTTCATCATCATCATCATCAAGATCAAGATGGTCTAAGATACTTCATCATTCCTCATTCGTGGGGCTCAAATGATCTCATCATCGCCACGTGACATTGGACTGGCGGCGACCACCCAGCAGCAGCTGCGATGCCATGGTGCGGATGCCTGAAGACAACAGGCCGTCGCCCCACTTGCCTTCAACGGCCTCCTGGGGCGCCGAAAGATCAGGAAGATTTTGGGAAATGTTCTCTATTCTTTTTTAAATATATGATGGTTTCAATATATATATAGATTATATTAATAGTGCTTCTTTGTTTTTAAAATGTTTTTAATATATATGCTTAGTTTTTTTAAGTATCAGCCCAAATAATGGTGGTGATTTCATGTGATTGTACAGTTCATAGTTGCATGTTACATGGTGATATGTACAATGGCTGCCTTTTGAAAAAAACAGTGATTTTTTTGGGGGGAATGGTGGCTGATTTAGGGGTGGTTAACAGTGACATTTCTGTTCAAAGATTTCTTTCATTCGTTTTTACTTAAATAGTAAATCAACCATTTGGCTGCGGGTGGTTGATGTGCTGAAGGAAAACCAATGAGAATCAATCAAGGTCAATGATTGTAAACTGTAGATTTGGGTACTTGAATGGTAGAATGCATTTTTTTTGTGGGCTTGCCGCATCTGTATCAAACACTAAAGATGGGAGCAATCCCCATCAAGGAGGTATTCTTATGAACTTTCCTAATCTTTCCTCGACATCACCATTTCTTTAAGAAGTTCAACCATCCAAACCAGGGAAATCTCAATAACATCCCATCTCCCATTTTGCTTCAACCCATTTTTGGTCGAAAAATGAATAACCAATATGTTTTTTGGGGTTAAATCTTTACACCCAAAACATGGAACCTCAAAAGTAGGGTCTCTTCCAGAGTCGTTAAGCCACTTGGACATGGCCTTACCGATGCATCTCAGCCACCGATTACGAACCACGCCCGTCCTGGCTGTCTTTAGGGAGCCATTCAGCGAGCTTCTGAGCCTGCCACAGTCGTCTCAAACAAAAAAACATCAGATTGCCAGATAGGAACCAACTTTTTGCTGGTTTTATGATATCACATCAGTTTCATGCTTTACCAGTCTTGTTCGAAAACCAAGCGTGTTACTGGTTTAACGTCACTCCAATTCCATAGTGATAATTTTGGTTAGTTAGAAGCCACCAATTTGGGATTGTGCACGTCACTTCAAATTCATTTTTGACGATTTGTTTTGATCAAAGCACTAAATTTGCCTGGTGACAAAGTCACAACCGTCAAATTTCGGCAATCAGAAACGAATCATTTTTGGCCCATGCCATGCCCTGCTAAAGAAGCGTGAAGCAACATGTCTTTTAGTTTTTTAGCATAGGACATTTTCCATCAACATGTCTCAACACGTGCACCTTTTGACCTGATCCTTCCCCGAATCATCCTGAATACATTCAATGATCCCAAATCGATTCAGTTCGAAACACAACCAGACTTTCAACAACCCATTTTCCAACCTCCACGGCCGCAAAGCCCTTGGTAGATTCCTCCGAGTTGCGATAGCCCAGGCCAGTCTCGGCCGCTTGATCACCTGCGAAGTGATGATTCAGGGGTTGGTAAATCTCCTGTTTTGGAGATTTGTAACATCACTTTCAAGTATTTGTTGGTGATTATATCCCCAATAGTTGGGTGATGTTCAATTATCTAGGACATTTACCAACCCCTGTCTGATGATTTAGCTAAAATATCAATGCGGATTTTCCAGATTGCTATAGTCTTTACATGTCTTTACCACTTTGGGTACTCAGGAATCTGGATGGAACACATTCATTTGTTGAACATCAGAATGCCAAGCTTCCCAGGACCAAGATGCGTGGGTTGTGTCACATGAATTCCCTACCCCTCGCCGTTCGGCAAATCCCCAGCTGATGGGTTTGTAAAGCCATGTTTTGTGAAGTGAAATCCTAAGGTCTATGATGGTCTATGATTGTGATGCATCCCCATTCTTGAGATCTTCAAAAACCCAGGAGCATGATGTTAGTGGCTCACCATATTCGAAGTGGCTCGCATGGATATGGGTGAAAACCCTGCTACCGAGTTTTTAAAAGCCAACAACTAAACAAACCCGATCAGAAGAACATGTTGGCCATGGCCGATATGGCTATATCATGCTATATCATGCTATATATAATGAACTCAGATCGATACATAAATCGATGTATATATATATCATTATATATCGATATGTGATGATGTATGATGATATATGACGAATGTATGACGAAAATATGACAAATATATGGTGATCTATGTGGATAGTAATGAACTGTATATCCCCCCAGCGACGCCGCTCAGCAACAGAAACCTGCAGTGATCTCTCGGATGAGCTCCTCAGCATCCTCACTAGGGGCGATATTATACCTAGTTGGTGGTTGACCTACCCATCTTGAAAAATGATGGAGTTCCTCAATGGGAAGATGGTACATCAGGTACATCCCATATATGAAATGGAACATCAAATTCCATGGTTCCAAACCACCGGCCAGATACTCATTTATAACCCTAGTCAGTGAACTAAGTGGATATATATATATATAATATAATATAATATAGTATAATATAATATAATATAATAAAATATAATATAATATATAAATATATTATATATATATACATTTCACCATAGTTTTTTTTGGGCTATATCTCAACTTAGGGAGGTTGGAATCCCATCATTCTGCAGTGACTGTCGGTTGACCCATCTCGTCTGGGTTGCCCTCGGAAAAATGATGGACGAATCGTCAGATGGGATGACATGACATTACTGAATGGAAAGCCATAAAATTCCATGGTTCCAAACCACCAACCATTAATTAAATCAGGGATTACTCTCTCAGTTTCTTTGAGATAATCTTGGAAGGTATTCATATTCAGTGCGTGTATAATTGAACTATTCTACAAACTATACATCATTACCGGCGAAAAGAGATACAGTATTTCTAGCTGGGCTTCGGAAGCCCAAATGCTTGGTTGCAGAATTGATTTGAGGCTGAAAACACTTCAAAACAATGCTTTTCCAAAAAAAAACACCTCTTCAATTCATCCCAAACCATCTGCTCCAAAAATCGCCTAAATCCAAGCAAAATCAACCTCATCCTTTGGTCCTTTGGTGCAATCCACATCATGGGTTTAAAATCTTCATGGTCCAATGGTCCCCATCCTCGGGTCCTCGGGGAGGTCGCCCACATCATAGCCAGCTTCCTTCATGGCCTCCAACAGCCTGGAGAACCAAGCCGCGATGTCCACTTGAAAAAAAATGCTCCGTTCATGTCCATTGATGAACAATATTTTGCTTTTTTTTTTTGGGGCCCGTGACTCACATAAAGATAGGCTTTAGAAAAGGATAGAAAAGGGGCTTTTTAAACATTACAAGGGGGGCAATGTTTAAAAATCACGCTTAAAAACACATGGCAATGATGAAGGTCACAGTTTGGCTTCAGTTTGGAGGTGTGGACCACCAATCCCAAATCCTGGAGCCTTTTCGAATATGGTCATTTCACAACATCCTATGGGAATATGTGGCATTTCTGAGATTTCACCATCTTATATACTAAAAATGATATATCATGATGATTGCACAAAAAATGAGCTATATGCCTATATTACCCTATATTCTATAGTGTAAAAATATGGATATGTTATGATGTATATTGGCTGTGAATGGGGAAAAGGCTGATTGTAACTTCATCCCATTACAACATACCATTTGTAGATGATATTCCGATATTCCCATCTTTTCCCAGCTACCAACCTCTATTTTTCATGTTTTTTTTTCTACATCTTGCAGTTTCATGAATTTTCACCATGGCAATTCCCCCTCTTTTGGCTCCTGTACAGCGATCTGGGCACGTTCAACAGCGCCGCCGTGCCCGTGGCACCGATGCCGGGGGGGTAGCCGTAGAGAACAATGGCCACCTCCAGGGCGAACATGGAGGTTTCAATGGGAAAAGATCGGAAAAAACATGGAGGTTTTAATGGGAAACTCTTGGAATTTAGGTGAACATGTGAAATACCATCTGGATATATCTGGATATCTGAAGAGTGTGCTATGGCACATCACCATCTTTTGGTAGGTAAATCGTTGAACGAAACTTTAAATGGGCAGTTCTCCATAGCTATGTTGAATTTGCGGAGGGTCAATCAGAATTGATTAGATAGTAAGATGACAATTTTGCAAGGTATCAATGATAATGATCATGATCCTGATGATGATCATTAAAACATGCCAACTGATTCTCACTGATAAAGAAGAGTATTATTGATCATCATATATTCCAATACATAGACATATTTCCCGGAAAAGACTTGCCAGAATTAAGAGTGATCATGAAAGCACCGATCATGACAAAGAACAGTAATAATAATGATAATAATAGGCGGTAACAAACAAAATCAACATCGTCACCATCATTGGGTTCTTTGTATTCCGACATCATCACCAAACAAATTGACGTGGATGTTGTTCCGTTGCCCCGGTAAATTCTCAGATCGTAAAACAACAGGACATTTATGATTGAACCGAGATTGAAACATCAACGCAAAATCAGTACACAAAGAACCTTGGGGATCAAAACAAGAGAGAGAGAGATGATAACATCATATAATATCAAAGTATAAAAATAAAACACACATGGAATGGGAATGGACATGTGACATGGTCCTGCTTTTGGGATTCCTGAGAATGATAATCATATTCCTATTGCAATGCATGCCAATCCCAGACCAAGAAGTGAACAAAGAACGACGATGTCAGTTATCAAGCATTAACTGCCAACAATGCACGGTTCGAACGCAATTTCTGCTGCTGAAATCACCACGCTTTGCTGATTTGCTGGTTTAGACTCTTATTCTTGCATGTTCTCGCTTGTTACCGTATATTTCTGCTGGCTACTCATCATTTTTTGCTAGTTCAAAACCTCCTCTGGGTAAATCATCATATTTCACTACCCTGAATTAATTTAAGGCCATTTGGGGATGATTTCCCAAAAAATCAACCTGAATCTTGCGGCCATTTGGGGATGATTTCCCTAAGATAAACCATGATTCCAGGCTTCGGTCGCGACGTGAGGTCGTTTTTTCATGTATACCCAGCTCCACGTTTCCATTGTTTTCCTGATATGCTAAAGCTATTGTCTCAACAAAACATGGTTAAACTAATAATTTGTCTAACAGTACTATTAGGATTAGTTACTCTATTAGTTACTCTATTGGTTCTATTTTACCATAGTAATAGCTACTAATCACTAATAGTTAGTCTAATATATGAACCATTACTAACTATTAGTGATAACTATTACCACCCCATTTTTTCGCCTTGCGTTGCTGGGGCGCGGTGCGGCGCAGCTGCACCCAGCGCTTCAGGCGCTGCGCCAAACGATCCACGCGGTCAGGGAGGAGGTCCTGGGGCGAAAATTCAGTGGTCAAAATAAAGATATCAGGAATAGGTAGTAATGGTTAGTAATGGTTCATAGTGAGTCAATAGTTAGTGATGGTTAATAGTTAGCAATGGTTCATAGTGAGTCAATAGTTAGTGATGGTTAATAGTTAGTAATGGTTCATAGTGAGTCAATAGTTAGTGATGGTTAATAGTTAGTAATGGTTAATAGTCACTTAATAGTTATTGATGATAGTTAGTAATGGTTAATAGTCACTTAATAGTTATTGATGATAATTAGTAATGGTTAATAGTCAGTTAATAGTTATTGATGGCTAATAGTTAGTAATGGTTAATAGTCAGTTAATAGTTATAGTTATTGATGGTTAATAGTTATTAATGGTTAATAGTCAGTTAATAGTTTTTGATTGTTAATAGTTGTTACTGGTTAATAGTCAGTTAATAGCTATCAATGGTTAATAGTTAGTAATGGTTAATGGTCAGTTCATAGTTATTGATGATAGTTAGTATATAATGGCGTGATGGTTAAGAGTTGTTAATTGTTAATAGTCAGTTAATAGTCAGTGATGGTTAATAGTTGTTAATGGTTAATAGTCAGTTAATAGCTATTGATTGTTAATAGTTAGTACTGGTTAATCGTTCAAATACGATAAAACAACAGTGGTTAATTCATATTCAGTGAACCACCCATAGTTACCAATGAATGGTATATAGTAAGTTAATGATATATTGCTAGTGGTTCATACCATCGTGCTTCATAGTTAGTGAATATTAGATTTATGATTATGGTTACTATAGTTATGATGATTATTACTATAGTCATGATTCATCTTTTATGGTAATTATCATATAACTATGGTTAATATGGTTACCCAATGGTAACTATTGTAATATTGAGGTATATGATGGTTAAATGGCTGTCATGGTTACTTAATGGTTCATAAGTATCAACTTAATATGGGTTAAGTATGGTTAATATATTACTATGGCTATGATACTAGCGGTTAATGTTATGGTTACTATATATTACTAATGGTTACCATAGATATGACAACTATATAGACTATATAGACTATATATCACTTAATCATGACACACATGGGTACTGCTCGTGGGGCCCCCAAGATCATATATCTATAGGTGGGTCAACGAACCAACTTAAAAAACAGATCCGCATTGTACCATCGTTTCCAAGAATTACCATCCTTTTCCCAAAAAAACATGGCCTCTTTTGGGGCATCCCATATTTTTGGACACCCCCAAGTGAGCGGTGAAAAAGATTCCTTTCCAATCCAAATATAGCAGTTTGGTGATAGGCATTCGGCATTCCCATTGTTCTAACCCTGACGTATCCATTCTTTCCTACCATTTGCATGCTTCAAATCAATCCTATTAATGAAATGAAGTGTTTTTTTTAAGCCGTGCAAAAAAACATACACAGCAACGGCAAGAAACTTTTTAGCTGCAATGCTCAGACATTCCGCGATATAAGCCATTCTATACCCAGTCAGAAGAGATATAACCAGTCAGCAACCATTCTATGACTTTTAAGTAGGATATAATATTTGGTTGGTGGTATACCTACCCCTCTGAAAAATATTAGTCAGTTGGGATCATTATTCCCAATATACGGAAAAATAAAAAAATCTTCCAAACCACCAACCAGATATGGATAAAACCTGTCATGGAGATGCGCAACAATCAGATGTGGGGCGATTTGACCCATGAGGTTACATTGGGACATTACCGTCGTAATCATGTGCCCAGAGATACAATTTTTATAGGGACAAATCATGATTCACCGGTCGATTTCACTGTTTTCCAGCCATTTTCACTAGATTTCCATGGATATTTTTCTGTTTTTGATGGGGTTTTCTCAAGTTTCATGGGCTTTTCCCGTCATTTTCCAGCCATTTCTCCAGCCATTCATCGCCCCTTACGGCGGTGACGCCGGGCATCGATGTCGCCGCCCGCGGAGAGGCCGCCCAGCGGCACGGCGTCAATGGCACCGTCCAGCTCCGGCAGGGCGTAGAGCACCACGCCCTGCAAACCACCGATGCCTGGCTGCCACTATTGATATATGGTTGGTACCATATATGTTGATACTACAGTAGTATATATAGGCTCGTCCCCGCTTCTGGAACCACACTGGGTGGGGGGGGGTGGGGTGGTATGTTAACGTTCATGTGACCTTGCGGCAGGATGTTAACGTTCATGTGAACTTGCGGCAGCTGTGGATGCTACGCACATGCGGGGGGGGGGGGGTGGGATGTTAACGTTCATGTGACCTTGCGGCAGGATGTTCACGTTCATGAACCGCGCAAACCTGAATTAGGTTGGTAAAACTTGTCCATTCCGTGACGAAATTTCGTCACGGAATTAACAAGTTTCATTAGGGTCATTATCATCATCATCATTATCATGATGATGATGATGAAGATGATGATGATGATGATGATGATGATAATGACCCTAATGAAACTTGTTAATTCCGCGACGAAATTTCGTCACGGAATGGACAAGTTTTACCAACCTAATTCAGGTTTGCGCGGTTCCAGAAGCGGGGACGAGGCTATATATACATATATATATATATTCATATATGTTGATATGTATATGGTAGCATATATATGTTGATATGTACTATAGTACTATATATGTATGTATGTATGTATGGATGGATGGATGGATGGATGGATGGATGGATGGATGTATGGTCAACAAATCAATGGAACCAATAAACCTGATGTGGTGTGAAGCTCACTGGCTTGATATGTATCAGTTCGTTAGCGTTGTTTGGTTTACCTAACTACAGTTAACATGGTGATACTGTAATTTTATTTTACATTGCATCACGTTTAAGTTCCACCTGGGTTTATGGTAGGTATATCGAACTAGTTACTAATTTATTATATGGCTGATAAACTTATAACTGGGGGACCGGGCAAAAAATGAACATGAGGGATTTGATATGCCGCGAAAAAAATGTACGTATATGTAGAACCATTCTAAAATAGAGCGTATATTATTAAAACTTTGATGTATATATATATACGGTATCAAATCATGCATGATATATCCTGAAATTTCCCTCATAACATTGATTTTAATCTGGGTGTGTCATTTTAAAGGGATGGCTTTATGTAATGAGAAACCTCCCGGTGTTCTGCTTACAAAACGACAGAAAAGGTGGTGTTACAAAATGACGAGAGCCCAAAGTTATAACATGTCAGGCTCAACGTAAGAAATAGACCAACCCCCAATCTGACATTTGATAAGGAGATGAAACCTGCAAGTGGAAAAGACAGTGCAATACCATAGATGGGGATTTTAGAAAACGCAGAATGGGAAAATCAACACAAATGGTGGATTTTCCAGCAAGCCATGTTTGATTGCCACAGGCTATATCCCATTAAATCCAATTCAATCCATTTAAATCCTATGAAATCCCAATTCCTTGCTGGTTAAAGATAGTTTAACACATTAAATCCAAAGTTATATAAATAGAGAGAGAGAGAGTCATCCTCCAAAGAGATAGAATCTCGGAGAATCTTCACTATGATATTCTATGGCTATAAACTATAATACATGTTATTATTGAATATCATTATCTATAATTCTCATTATCCTTATCTGTTATGTTTCATCATGTTTATTTATATATAATCATTTTCATGAACCATTACTATATATCTCACTAAGTCCGTTTAAATCCCATAAAATCACCATATCTTTGCTGCTTAAAGATCATTGAAAATAATCCTAACTTCTTCTTCGTCCTATTACCATTCGTATTAAATATTAATATTGCTAGTATCATGATTTGTCATTCTGATTTTATGTCTATATAATTAATTATAATTATATACACATACATACAGTACATACATTATTGTTATATTTATGTGTTCTATTTTTCTGGCTATCCTCATCTTTTTTTGCTCATGAAAAGCACCTTTTTTTATCATCCCAGAAAACTTTCATCAACATCTCCCAGATCACCTTAAATGATGGATAGATCATGATCCCAGGGACCTCCATTGACAGCAATGAGCATTTTTTTTAAACTTCCATTGATCAGGTGTCCCAATAATTGCCATTTGAGCTTCAAAATCCCCAACTATCATTCCATGAAAAATCCTGGTTGGTTTAGAATGGGATTCCCCGTTCTTGGATTAAGAAATAATCCCCAATATTAGTATATATTGAGTATAATCCCACTAATCATCAACCCTGCCAGGGGTTTAGCAGCCACTTAGCAGCTGCTCCACCATCTCCACGGTCTCCACCTTGATCCTTCCAGGACTGGAGGTCTTGGATCAGCAGCGGCGCCGCCACGAAGTAGGGCACGTTCAGTGAGGACAGGATCTCCTGCCACGCCAAAAACTGGGGATTTTGCGGCACAAAAATTGAGTCTGGTTGGTGGTATACCTACACCACTGAAAAATGATGGAGTTCGTCAGATTGGATCATCATCCCAACTATTGGAGAAAGTAAAAAATGTTCCAAACCACCAACAGACTGGAATTTAGTATCTCACTGAAGTTACTGAAGGGCAGTCAGACACTGGAGACCTTCACAACCGCAAACTTATGGAGATTTTTCACCTGAAACGTGCCTTTTGGTACAAACAAAATCTAGATTTTACTGGAATATCTGGAATCTGGTTAGGAACATGTGAGAAAGGGATTTTTCCTTAATTCATATGTTTGAAGATTTTGCTGGTACAGGTTTGAGAACCCCCTTTTCGGTTAACTAGCAAAAACATGATTTTTGATCAGCAATCAAGACTTGAATAAGAGATATGGGATTTAGCAGGCTAACATCAGGATTTTCAAATTCCAAGGCAAATCTTAAACAAGAAAACATAGGATTTGTACTTGATTTCCACTGGGTCGCTTGGTTTGTAACTATGTTGTATTGACACTGGAAAACATGTTCCAAACCAACTTGCACCTGAGAGGGCACGGGAAATCCGTTGAAATCCAATATGTTGAATCAGCATGAATCAGCTCAGATTTTCCGCTGTTGGATTCATTTACACATTGAAATGCATTGAAGCGCATTGAAATCCTTAAGTCATTTACACCCTGTTGGATTTTCCATTGTGCCCTGGTCACCTCAGCTCGGCAGCTTGTCCTTGGCGATTTCACTGTTTCTGCCACCTGATCGTCAGAGCTCCCCAAGCTAGCAGGTCTTCAAGCTCCCATGTCGTCAGGCTATTAAACTAAGGCAAGTCTCACTAGCGCAATTTTGAAGGATCTAAGAAATTCATGGAATGTACAAATAGTCTTAGTAGAGTACAAACCACTGGAGGTATAATGTTATACTGGTTGGTGGTGCAATGTGCACATCTTGAAAAATGATGGAGTTCGTGAATGGGAAGGATTATTCCATCCCATATATGAAATGGAAAATAAAATTCCATGGTTCCAAACATTTCCAAACCACCAACCAGTATTATAGTGCATGATCGTCATTGCTTGATACATCGTGCCTTCCATGGAGCCAGCAGGACCTCCAACCAGAGGGAAACCGATGGTGTTCACCACGGCATCCTGAGGCAACAATCATGGCTGTTTTCGCCAAGAACAATGTGTACATATAATTATATATATATAACTATATATATATAGCAACATCTGTTCATCATGTTTTTTTTCTACATGCCACGCGTACATACGGGTACATGAAAACAAGTATGACACCACACTTAGTATGATTTCTCTGCAATTCTATACCTTATATAGATCTTCCAGTCCAAATGGAGCAGCAACACGGCTGAGAACGAATGAATGAACCATAAACTCATTGGGCAAAAGACCACGAAACAGGATTTGGATATACTGGGCATAGGTACTTGGGCAAATATTCATGGGGCGGCTTGTCGAAAAGTGAGTTTTTCTTGCAGATCAAATACACGTCAATACACTAGTCCCTTCCCCCGTTCATATTAAACACCCCCAAACCAAAACAATGGTTTAGCCCGTAGGGAGTTTCCACATTCCATTGGGACCATAGAAATGGATAGAAATGGGGTGTTTTGCATATTGTGATGGGATAATATTACAACACTATCCTCCAGTCTCAGGATCTTCCATAATGGATCCAAGTCGCTACTTCGATGGCGTCTGGCGACAAGCTTCTGGTGCGAGATCGGAGCGGAGCAGTGCGGAATGTTATATGAGCTGAACAGAATCTTAAACAATGTCTGATATCATGGATCTTCAAAAACGAAATACCGGTTCTTAGGTATCACATTCACCAACAACAGGCACTCAAAAAGGAAATGAAGGCCACATTGGCACACACACACACCACAGTATTCCCCCCCAAAAGGGGATTTGATTAAACAAATGGGACTGGAGCCCCTATATTTTTTCAAAACAAAGTGGACGCGCAGCCACTCAGGATGTTGCAACCAACCGATAGATAGATGGGAACAACAAAGCATCGAAACCTCGTTGTAAAAGTGACATCCAGACAAGCAGCAACGCTTGCTAAAAGGCCAGAATCATGGCTTATTGGCTGTGTTGAAACTCATTTTCGGATATGTACTAGGAAGGACTTTGACTCATATAATCAATATATCAATATCTCAATATCTCAATATACAGTATATATATATAATATATATATATATCGCTAGAGGGTTGACGTTTGCCCGAAATCCACGGAATTCCATGCGGGACTGCAATCCGCTGTGTTGTTTCCGTGCGTGCTTTTCGCACACTGCGAGCATGTAAAATATTGATATTACCTGCGTCTCATTGCTTTTTATCGCTTACCTAAGACGGTGCAAAAATCACCTTTTGAAGCGTATCTTAAAGATATCCTCCGTCATTTGCAGCGTTTTGAGCCGTTAACTGAGACCTCAACAAAGCGCAAGACTTTGAAAGAACACCAAAATAACCTAACCCTAAATAAACCCTAAACAAACCCTAAACCAACCCCAAATCAACCATAAATAACCCTGAATAGACCCTAAAACAACCGTGAGCAAACCCTAAAACAACCCTAAATAGCACGAAAATTAAATAAACCCTAAAGAAAATCTAAACCAACCCTAAGCAAACCCTAAAACAATCTGAAATATATCTGGAGCAAATCACAGCGTAACTAACCCCCCAATGAAACTTTGGGCGAACGTCCGCCCCGGAGGGATATATATATAACTATATATAACTATATATAACTATATATAACTATATATAACTATATATAACTATATATAACTATATATAACTATATATAACTATATATAGCTATATATAACTATATATAACTAAAAATAACTATATATAACTATATATAACTATATATAACTATATATAACTATATATAACTATATATAACTATATATAACTATATATAACTATAACTATATATAACTATATAAAACTAAAAATAACTATATATAACTATATATAACTATATATAACTATATATAACTATGTATAACTATGTATACCTATATATAACTATATAAGTATATATAACTATAAATAACTATATATATATATAACTATATATAGCTATATATAGCTATATATAACTATATATAACTAAAAATAACTATATATAACTATATATATATAACTATCTATAACTATATATAACTAAAAATTACAATATATAACTATATAAAACTAAAAATAACTATATATAACTATATATAACTAAAAATAACTATATATAACTATATATAACTATGTATAACTATGTATACCTATATATAACTATATAAGTATATATAACTATAAATAACTATATATATATATACTATATATAGCTATATATAGCTATATATAACTATATATATATAACTATCTATCTATCTATCTATCTATCTCTATATATATATAACTATCTAAATATATATATGTATACCAAGATCATATTTTCTACCCTCATGCGCCGGTCTCTTCCCAAATATTTCCAACGTCAGCCATTCAGAAATGCGGGATCACCCCCTGTCCTTGCCCCTGCGGCATCTCAAATCAGCAACATCCAGGCTTAATCAGTTCATCATGGTTTCCCTTGAAAAAACGTGCGTTTTCTCTCATATTAGAGGCTGAAGAAAAAAATCATATATCAGCTGCATTCAGTTGCCACATCAAAATCTTCTCAAACCATCTTCAGCCATCTTCAACCCCCTTTTCTTCACCTTTCCCCCCCCCAAAAAAAAACGCTGCCCTTCCCTCGGACCTGTTGGCCACCTCCCCTCGTTGCAGCGCCGCTTTCTCGAAGGCGCTGGTGAGCTGGTCCCGGACGGCGATGTGCGCATCTACGCCTCGCCGTGAGTCGCTGTCCCGACCTTTTTTCTTTGGGAGGGTTTAGTTGGGTTTCTTCTTTCCACTTTTAGATATCTTTTAATGGCTTATTAGAAGTACAATATAAATAAATAAAACTATATATATATATTTATAATTAAATGTATGTATATAAATGTATAATTATATATGTATAATTATATAGACTTAAATATATATATATATAAATATCCAAGAACTCATGACACTCTCGGCTTGCTGAACGCAGCAACATCCTCCCAGCCTTGAATAAAGATGGGCACCGGGAGGATCTGATGCGCCTCCTGGGCAGCTGGATGGTTTCAAGGAAAATCCATGGAAAATTCGTTTATAAATGGATGATTAACATCTTTAAATGGGTGATTCACCTCTATAAATGGATGATTAACATCTATAAATGGATGATTAACATCTATGAATGGATGATTCACCTCTATAAATGGATGATTAACCTCTATAAATGGATGATTAACATCAATAAATGGATGATTAACCTCTATAAATGGATGATTAACATCCATAAATGGATGATTAACATCTATAAATGGATGATTCACCTCTATAAATGGATGATTAACCTCTACAAATGGATGATTAACATCTATAAATGGATGATTAACGTCTATACATGGATGATTAACATCTATAAATGGTTGATAAACATATTTAAATGGTTGATTGACATCTATAAATGGATGGTTAACATCTATAAATGGATGTTCAACCTCTATGAATGGATGATTAACACCTATAAATGGATGATTAAACCCTTTCAAAGGTTGATTAACATGTATAAATGGATGATTCACCTCTATAAATGGATGATTTACATCTATAAATGGATGATTAACACTTAAATTAACACCTATATAAAAGGTTGACTAACATCTATAAATGGTTGATAAACATATTTAAATGGTTGATTAACATGTACAAATAGACGATTAACCTCTATAAATGGATGATCAACATCTAAAAATGGATGAGTAAGATCTATAAATGAATGATTAATCTCTTTAAATGGTATTAACATCTATCAATGGATGATTCACCTCTATAAATGGATGATTGACATCTATAAATGGATGATTAGCATCTACAAAAGGTTGATTAACCTCTATAAATGGTTGATTAACATGTATAAATAGATGATTAACCTTTATAAATAGATGTTCAACCACTATAAATGGATGATTCACCTCTACAAATGGATGATTAACCTCTACTATAAATGGATGATTTACTGCAAATCTCTGCGCCAAAGAAAACAAAGATCTAAAATTTCTAACTTACATCTTTTTGAATCATCTTTTGCATTAGCCTCTGGTCATTAGTAACATTGCTATTGAACACGGCCCATTGGTCGAAAATTCCTCCAGGTAGTTCACCAACTGAAAGACGTAGGACAGCTCTGACCTCGAAACCATGATCCTGGTGAAAATCACCCTACCATCGTAGTGGATTTTCCCTTAAAAAAATGGTGATTTTCCATAGTTATGTAAAGGTGTACCAGAGGGTAGTAGAACAAGATTTTCTGGCTACTTCTAATTCATATCTAGAAAAACCATCCTGGTGAAACATCTGAAGTAGTCCGTTTGAAAAAGCATCCGCATACTTGATGATACTTGTAATGGACTACTTAGGGATGCGAACCGGTACCATTTTGGCTTTTGACCCATGATGACCCATGACGATATTCCCTGATTCTGGGGATAGGTGGGACTACGGAACCATGATATTGCCAACACTCTTGGGACACCTTTGGTCTGTTGGGGTTCCAATATATTATACCTTGGCTGATAGCCAAAACCATTGCATCATTCTGGATAGGTCCAGCCGAAACCAACCATATCAGACCACAACCAAGGGTGATTCTGAATTGTATCTAATTGGTGGTTTCAACCCCCGTGAAAAATATTAGTCAGATTGGATCATCATCCCAAGTATTGGGGAAAAACAATGTTCCAAACCACCAACCAGGTATAAATGGTGACTTTCTCCGCAGTCGATCATCATCAACTGTCACCATCATCAACCATTTGAAGATATTGGGTCATACCCTCTGGTAATTTAACATAGCTATGGAAAATCACCATTTTTAATGGGTAAATCCACTATCAATGGCCGTTTTCAATAGCAAACTGTTAGTTTACCAGAGGGTACTTCAATCGTTTTCAATCCATTTGGTATCTGAAAATGGGCCACGCAGAACCCCCCCAGTTTGGCCATTTCGAATGGAAACGGACCACAGATAAAACGCCAAGAGACACAACGTGCTTCCGATAAAGCAGCACAGCCACAACGGGCCAGCCCTCTTGGAAGGCCTAAAATCCCCAGGAGATCCTGTAGATGGTGGATTCACCAATGGGAAAATCAACAATTAGCCTTAAGCATATCCAGGGTATGCTGCAAACATTTGAGCGTCGAGTCAGCAGTCAAGAAATTCGTGAAAACACAGTATCTACGCATTTGCATTGGCTCAAATGCCTTGTTTTCTTTTCTTCAATCGGGGCTACCAACAACAAAGCCAATCCTTGTGAATTTCCCAAAGGCAAACTGCCTAGTTGACTGATCAAAAACACAAAGAAATGGCAACACAACTATCATCAACTATCAAAATTATGGGGAGATCATAAATATCAATCATCATCAAACATGGCAATGGACAGTTCCCCATTTATGGTTCATATTCCCAGCTAGAAACCTTCATTTAAAGGGTTTCCAATTGCCACGTTTGATTGCTGGAGGCTATCTATCATGATCTATCATTAACAGCCAGCAACAGACCCACTTTATCTACACTGGGTAAGATTGATTGAGCCATGAGGCTTGCACTGATCCATCATGCCATCAAATCTAGCGTGCCTTCAACATCACCCATTGATGACATAGCTATGAACAATCGCAAGTGATATGAACCATCGCCAAGTTTCGTTTTTTCCTGAAATCATAGATATAATCCCCATATGCTTGGTGAAACAACCATTTGTGTAGAACAATTTCTTTGCGCCCCATAAAGAAACGGTCCATGGTTTGGTCACTATTCCGCTAGTCTTTGCTTCATAATCGCTCGCTTTGGTGTGGCTAACCCACCAAAATGGCTATTGTTTATATTGCGTATGATTCGTATATACATACCTATACGTGTATATTGTCAATGCCATACGCCCGCAGACTCCACGCCGCATTTTCGGAAAGATCGACATTTCTTGGGTACAACATCCATGGAATCGCTGGTGAAACATGAAAATTCCGCTTGGATTTCTGGATGTTCATCCAGCCAAGACATGGTAATTTAATGTAATTTATAGGTTTTGATCCATCTCCATTTCATGATTTTCTGAGGACTATGAATCTTGTTGGGGACCCCTGTAGGCTGAGGCACTTGGGGTTTGTAGCTGCGATACCAGTCCTCGGGTGGCGGAGTTGAGATCTGACATTCTTCCTGGAAGTTCCTGGTCACTTAGCACCCTCGGATTGTCTGGAAAGTTCAGAGCTTGTTTTGGAACGACACGAATCTTTGTTTCGCATTGGACAATCATCGGATTGACTGCGGTCCAGCTCCAAAGCATTCAGAGCTAACCCCCTGATTTTTTGATCTGTTGAGATTCCCGTGTGATGAAGTTCAACTGACTCACCAAGAGTATCTTGGCTAATCACCTTCACGCTATAACACACTGCAAATGTCAAGGCATGTCAATTTCAAAGCCCCCAATAACCGAGGCAGTTCTAGGCATCATCCCAGGCCCAGGCACTAAGTACTCTTTGGGACTTTCGAAGAAGGGCCCCGGTTGAAAGGCGTACCTGGCTGCGAGGAAGCTGAGTCGATGGATCACACTGCAGTTCTCAGCTGCTTCGCATGATTTTCATGATTTTTTCCCCTTTTTTTGGGTGCCTCACGTTCAATATTTTCAAAACTATCAATCTTGCTAGGAATGAGTCACTTCCAAATTCCAAGTTGTCAGCTGGATCGGTCAGTGAATCGGACATAAATAAAAGAAATGCGATGAAACATGATGACACCAATAGTTCCCAGAGTTTGAGGCAACAATTTATAGTTTTCTTGGGTCTTTTGCCTCAACATATGAACAACACATGGAAAAAATGTGAAACCACGGGCTCGGCCGCTCAGCTGTTTCGGCTCGCTGTTTTGCCGAGGCACTTCAGTGATGGATGCAGCAAACCTACCTAGGTCGAAAGTTGACATCAAGGTGGGGCCAAACAAAAACTCAGTTCGTAAACGTTTAACTAGGTGGATTAAGTATGAATTAACTACGGTCTGTGGATGTTAGGTATCATATTCATGGGAATATTTCAAGTAAATAACTAAGTTACAACACGCATAGCTGGGAAAAAATACAAGTACGTAGAGCTCCATCTTTTTCCCTAAAGAGTGCAGAGATATGTCTTGGGACCAGAATAACTTCACCAACCTGAGCCTTTCATGGGCCTCTCCACCCCTTGGGCAATGATGAAGCGAAGCAAGCCTTTTTTGGGATGATGTGAATGTGGATGGATGCAAGTGGGTCTCTCCAGTGGTGACATATTCAGACATATATCCGTGTCGAAAAATGAGACTCAGAACAGCCCAAGTGTGGTATCTTTTTCGTGCACTAGTTTGGAGGTCTTGCTTCTTTTTGGAGATACCTGTATCGTTCATTTGTGGGCCATTGCATGATTTTGCATGGCCAATCTCAAATACCCTTCAAACAACCATCTCTTGGCTGATTATACGTATATATATATATCTGGGTAAATTACAATAATTCACTAACCTGAAATAAGGCTATTACAGTACTAACCATGATTATAGTGATACAACAAAATATTGAACTTAAACTAGCAACATCTCCAGCCCGTCCCTCGCCTGTGGGATTTCGATCACAGGAGGCACGTCATCTTCTCCAGGCTCCTGAAACGGCAGATTTTTGCCGCACCTCAAAACATGGGGATTTAACCAACAAAAACTTATGTTCTAACCAAAAAATGGTGATACATGGATATATATATATATATATGTCTATGTATATACATATACACCTATATTTACATAGTTATATATATTTATACTTATATATATATACATACAGGCAGGTTTTTCTTTCAACCAACGAGATTGGGATCTCAACAAACATGCCATGGGGATCCATCCTCAGCCATGAGGTCAGGAGGCCATGATGATGATGATGATGACGACCACGACGGCGACCAATATGAAGAAACATCTTAAACTAACGAATTCTTATCCTTATGAATATTGGTTAATTAAGAAATGGTAATAATTAACTTTTATCATTGGCATTGCTAGTAATTATCATTATTTGAAAATATTGAAAATTGCAAGCACATGAATATCACTTTTATCACTAGTCACTAGTCAGAATCGTATCATTAGATATCATACCGCCCGCAAATAGATGCTCAGAGGTAAGTCCAATTCAACAATGATGATACATTTATATAAGGGTGTAGGTTGCTGTAGGGGGTGGGAAGGTCTATGTTTCTCAAATTTAACATGTTCTATCTTTTGCATCCGCCGTCCTCAGCATTCTCAGAGAGGTCATCGAAGTGCACTTCGAAGTCACCGAATTCTCGCGCCACATAGCCTTGAGATGGTGTGAGTTTGAACCGACCAAGTGGAGATATCTGGTTTGACGAAGTTTCAGTGGTGAACTGTGGGGCTTTTGGACCAAAGATGTGGAATTCTTGAAGTAGGGACAGTGGAGATCTTGAACAACACAATATTGGGGATTCGAATTCCGAACCAACAAAAAGGGGTCTTCAAGCAATAAAAAAGAGACATGAACCAACAGAAGTGGGAATTCAGTAGCAACACAAATCCTGAAGAACAAAAATTGGGATTTTGAAACATTTGAAATTTGAAACATTCAAATAGAATAGAATCCTTCAATCATTTACCGAGATTCAAATAGAAGTTCAATTTGTTCATCATTTACCTTCAATTTGTAACAAAGTTGGAGATTTAAAAAGAGTCCTTCAATCATCGGCAATCATTTGCCCACACTAGCTCTGAGCAACCTGTGGGCTCGTTGGGTGCCAATGTTCCCATGCCATGCATGTTGGTGAGCTGTAGCTCTGACGGTCACATGCCGTGCCCCAAAGAATTGCGTGCTCCTATAGTATATATAATGTAAAATATGTATATATAATAAATAAATAAATATTATATAATAAAGAATAATTTAGTATAATATAAATTAATACACAAGATAAAAAAACAAATACATTAAATAACATATAAAGAACATATTATATAATACAACATATAACAAATATACTAATTAGTAAATAATATATATTTTAAAAATATAAAATATAATAAATAAATTCCTAAATCAAATAAATAAATAAATAAAACATAAATATATTTTGGTATATAACATATAATAAAAATATATTATACATAAAATACACTATATAATATATATTGAAAATAAAATACATAATATATAAATAATATTGTAAAACAGATATATAATATATAATAAATACACGTTAATATAAAATATATAATGTATAAAATATAACATATAATATATAATATAAAATATATAATATATAAAAATATAACAAAAATATATAATATATAATATAAAATTAATAATAAACAATATATAATATAATATATATATAATATATAATATAAAATATAAAATATAAAATAAGATATATAATATAAAATATAAAATAAGATATATAATATAAAATATAGAATAAATAATTCATAATATAAAATAAATAGAATCTAATATATCACATAAAAAATACACTATATAATATATAATGAATGATATATAATATACAGTATAATACATATTACACATTACATATTCTACATTAAATAATAAATAGTATTAAACACAAATACAATATACAATAAAGGATTGAATACAATGTAATGTTTAAAACAAAAAAGATAAACTACAATACAAGATAATATAATATAATATAAAAGAAAATAATACATTATATAAGGTAATGATATAATACAATAAAATAATAAAATGAAATAATACTATTATAAAATCAAATAACAATAAAATATAATAACACAATATATAAAATGACACAATACACAATAACGTAATATAAAAAAAATATTATAATAAAATATTCTATAACATAATATAATATCTTACAACATAATATACTATCATATATAAAATATAATATAAAATATAAAAAATACACAAAGTATAAAAAAAACAATACAACATATATAATATATGATAGAAATTATAATGTAATATAATCTAAAAATACAATAACTTAAAATAAAATATATAATACAAGACAATACGATATAATATAATATAATAAAGGATAATATAATACAAGATAATATAATATAAACAAATATAAATATATAAACAACAAATATAATATAAATATAAAAAATGTATAATACACATATTTAATATGATATAATATAAATATATGGTATGATAAAAAAAATATTACAATATAATATAATATAATATAATATGAAAATATAATATAATATAAAAATAATATAATATAATATGTAAACATAAAATATGAATATATAATATGATACATAATAAAAAATAAAATATAAGATAATACAATATAATATAAAATATAGTGTAATATAATCTAATATAATATAATACAATGTGATACAATATAATATAATACAATATAAAATGGTACAATATAATATAATATAACATAATAAAATACACTATAATACAATATAATATAATACAATATAATCTAATACAATATAATATAGTTTTATAACATTAATATACAAATATATTATAAACATTATATATGATCCTTTCAAATTAAGAAAAATACCGGGCGTGTATCCCAAACATCTCTGAACGCAACGGTTTCAGGCCTGGAGGATCATCCCTAGGATCATCAGGTCCCATTGAATGGCGTTGTTTCAACACATGGGGTTTTAATGGGATTCAACCATGAGCAATGCTGGTTTAATGGTGATTTAATAATGAAAAATGATGATTTTAATGGGATTTAATCAACAAAACTGATGATTTTAATGGGATTTGTGTAAAAACAATGCCATAAACCACCCATTTGGGAATGGTTTATACCACCTATAAAAATGGTGATTTGGGGAATGGTTTATTATTGTTTGGAATAATGGCCATTGTATACCACAGACATGGAAAATGGCCATGGCAACTTTGCGGAAATGCTGTAAATATGGCAACTTTTCATCCATTTCCCCGACGTGAAACTGGCCCACCAACTGACACTGGGATGATCCACCATATCCCACTCTTTTGGCTGTCATCAAGAGTCGCCCAAGATTTAGAAGGTTTGACTTTCCCGTTTTTAAACATACCCGTTACGCCATAGCCATACTATGGAGGGTATACATCACAAAATCAGGGATGAATATCCCATTGATATTCCAATCATATGATATGCCATCAATTTCTGATAAATATGGACCATTAATATCGCATTCAATTCTCATCCTGTCCTAATATGAAAATGCCAGGAATATATATATATATACATATGTAAATATTTATCATATCATTTCTCCACATCTCATTCAACAAAGATCACCTGACCATATTTTTCCTCGACATTTTCCTTGTCCAAAAGTCGAAAAATCTCCCAGCTCCAGGTCTCTCCGGATCTCTGCAGTCACCGAGACACGCAGCATCTTGGCGATGTTCGTGTTGCCGCCGCCGCTCCAAAAGGCGTAAGTCTGCAACCAGCGCCGGAGATCTGGGATGGGGCCGAACCTGGGCAGAGAGCCAGTGGCTGATGGGACCCCAGGAATGTGGTGATTTCATGGTGGTTTAGCGGGAACTAAAGGAATCGAATAGTATTTCATGGAATTTAATCTGATGAACTAAGGGATAATCCACCCGTTCATCGTGGATGTAAGGAATTTCCCACAGAATTGGGGCCACTAGAATGGGGGTGTTTCATATTGTTTAATATTAGGAGGATGGGATTATATTGGATATACGCCAGTAGTTTAGGTAAACATCACAAGGTGGGGTGTCCAAGATAGCTAAGTTGGTGACCATAACTCATGGTTTATGGTAGATTTATCTATAATTATTGGGGTTTAAAAAACGAACTTATAGCTGGGCGGCCCTGGGTTGTATAGATATGATTCTATAGGTTATTCATCACCTAACTTCATGGGGATTGCCGGGATTACCTATCAATAATTCCAATGATTGGGAAGGGATTGAAAAAACAACAATGATCAACTGGTTGGTGGTATACTACCCCTCTGAAAAATATGACTTCGTCAGTTGGGATGATGACATTCCCAATCTATGGAACGTCAAAAAATTCCATGGTTCCAAACCACCAACCAGTCAATAATAGATATTTTGATCCTGGTACACAATGTTTATACCAAGGTATATATCTTTCACCAGCTGGATATACCAATGGCAAAATGGCAATATGATAAGATGGGAATCAATAGGGTAATCTTTTTGGGGGTTCGCAGGTCATCTCCATGAATGTTAGTTAGATATCCTCTGGTTATTCAACGTAGCCATGAAAAACCATCAGTTTTAATGGGTAAATCATCATATATCATCCATCAATATGAGATTTTCCATAGCTATTGTTAAATCACCAGAGGGTATATACATATATGTATATATCTAATCCTCATGGGTGGGGGGAACTTGCTAGTCATCTATCATCAGCGACTCTGGGTAGAGGGGACACCATCGAAACCATGGGTGCCCAACAGTGCTGGGACAGATTCATCACTGGAAAACTGAGATCTTTGCATCAATTGGTGTGTATTTATGGGGGTACCCCTTTTCAAAACATCATGCACCTCCAAAACTCTTCAAAGGTAGATGGGCGGACCTCCCTGGGGCTCACAACTTACATAACAGGTATAACTAACAGCTGCTCGCCAGCCAACTGAGGGAGAAATTGCAGCAACTTCGGACCAGTCTTCAGAAATTTCGTGTAGCCGGCGATTCGGTCCTCCTGTGGTGGAATCGACGGTCTTCGACAACGATGGTGAGATCATCTGGGACCACACTATCTCAACTTTTGCTTAGTTGCTCTAAAAGTCTCTATTTTTTAAAAACATAACCATGCATAAAATGTTTCAAACAAGATTTCCAGCAAATTTTAACATCCGAATTTTCCTAGCACATCACCTCCGTTGTGGCTTCCCCCCGATCTTTTCCCGCGGTTTCTCCCACGTTGGCTGAACCCTTCGCCCAGTCCTCGCGCTGTCCCGTCAGCGCCGAGATCATCGACCGGATCTGCGGCGGCATTCCACCGCCGCCCGACATGGTGAAGGACCCCACCTGGCGAAGCGCTGGGAGATGAGAGAAAAAGGTGGTGATTTCTCAGGGGAAATACCATCTGGTGTCATCTGGTGACATGGGAATTTTTCAACTGGAAATGAAACATCAACTGTTTAGAACATGGTACCATGTCATCAAACATGAAAATGAACTAGAAATGAAACATCAACTGTTTAGAACGTGGTGCTTTTTTCATGGGACTTCTTATGGGGATTGAAGACATCAATGGGAAACCCCCGCGCATCAATGGAGGTTTAGTTCGCTGGGAAAATCAATGAACTAAATGGGGAAATACATGGAAAATCATCACCAAAACAAAGTCCTGCGATTTTTTCTGATTATGTTGGAAAAAACACCAAATCCCAGTTTTTAAAAAATGCACGGAAAACAATCACCAAATGGGATTTTGCTTGTTTTTTTAGGGTGATAATCGAGATACTAAATGGGGAAATCTGGAGGATATATACCAAATACATCATGCTCTAATAATATATCAATTTGAATCAATATGTCAATATGTCAATATAAGAATGTATCATATCTTAATATTGATGCCAACAATAACACACACACATATATATATATATATATTTATATATGGTGGAGGTTATAGTCACCTCCAAAGGACAATCATCAATCAACGATCTTGCGAACCAACCAGCAGCCGAAGCTTTCCCAAGTGAAAAAGAGCCCCCACAATTGAGAGGTCAAACATTGAGAGGTCAACAGAAATCCTAATGTTAAGATAAATTAAACAATATCAAACATAATTAAACCATCTTAATATTAAGATATAACATGGGATGCTAGTTAAACCATCAACATATGGCATTATGTTAGTCAAACCATCAACATATGGGTGGCTAAGGATGCTAACATGAATTTCCTATCATCGACAAGAAGTTGATGGACATCCCATAGAGAATTGGCGGCTCGGTCAGCCAAGCGTGATGACACGCAAGGCGCAAAGTAGTGGTAGACTCTCTGGCAATCAAACGTGGAAAGAATCATACAGTACCTTTGTGTTTACCCTCTGGTAATTTAACATAGCTATTGAAAATCACCATTTTCAATGGGAAAATCCACTATAAATGGCCATTTTCAATAGCTATGTTAGTCATTACCAGAGGGTATATGAAGGTTTCCTGAGTTATATGGGTGCCCCGTAAAACCACCATTTTTTTTTGATTTCCCGTTGTGCAAAAGCATCGAGCTATTGAAGATCCCCCATTTTTGGAAACCACAGTGATCTCAAGGGTTTCAGCAGACAAGGCCCACAGATTTCTGGCATTGTCCAATTTTACCAGATTTATTGCTTCGGCATGCTTCGGCTATATCCCCATTTGGGGGGTTCCTAAAATGCGACCCAAGAATAGATAGTTAATGGAAAATCCACCTATAAATGGATGATTCAGAGGTACCCCCCCATAATAAAGGACACCTCTGTGGCAATCAACCCATCGGAATTCTCTCAGTGGCACTGGAATCATCTTTCACTGCCGCTGTCGATGAAACCGTCATGATTGTAGCGGGTGTGTACTGAAAAAACATGAAAAAACGTCCATTGGTTCTACCAGTTCTACCTCCTGGTTTCCGAAATTTCACACAAAACATATAGTGGGCCCCCAAGAAAAAAGAACCACTTTGCCAGGATGTCAGCCAGGTGTCATCTCAATGATATAAGTTGCCATTGTTAGTCCAACATCAACCCAACGGTGACCTCCCAGTTATGGGTTTATTAAGGCTTGCGGGAGCATCTTCAGTGTCTATACAAATCTATACAGATACAGGTGCAAAATGCCATCCTGACTGCAACCTCTCCCAAGGGCACAAGGGATCACAAGGGAACAAAAACAAGCTTCAACACCGAGTGTTCCACTCCCACCCCAAAGGTCTGGGAATCCACGCGCCTCACCAAGAATGAGTTTTTCGGTTGAAAGGCTGTGCATGACTGTGCCACCATCTGGAGCACCTTGTCCGCTCCTATGAACATGCGGGTCCCCCTGAGTGGAACAGCTGATGGAATCTTGTTGCCCATCAGAGATGCAGCTGCCTCATCTACTGAGTCAGGATTGAAGCTCAAGCCAACCTTTGCCAACTTGTATGCATCTTGTTTGGCAAATGCATACCCACCATGCAGCTGGCCGGGGAAACAATCCAGGATGGCAGCACAAGCATGCTCCCTTGCTGCATGGATCCCAAGCCTGACCACTTCCACTGATGCTGTGGACGTACTTACTCTCCAGTAAACTATCATAACTGTGGAACATCACCATTAAAATCATGGGCACATCATTTTCTTTTCGTGGCCATTACCATTTTTAATAGGCAAATCACCTATAATCTATAACTGGTTTGTGGTTTCAACCCCTCTGAAAAATATGAAAGTCAAATGGGATTATTATTCCCAATTGAATGGGAAAAATCATGTTCCAAACCACCAACCAGCTATAAGTATCTATAAGTGGCCATTGAAACAATAGCTATGTTATTGGAAGCTTCACCTCCAAGGTCAAGGGCCTTCACCAGCGCACCTGGGTGCAGGACATGAGTTCCAAGGCCGACTCAAAGACCATCCGCACCTGCGATCTGCTGGCGATCTGCTCCCCCGGAAAGAAGGAGATCACGTTTCACATTGGGGATCTTTGCATTTTTCGATCCAACATCGGCTTATAAAAACCAACCATCGAGACTGGGTATATTATATATAATATAATATTATATATATATACGTATACATGGGGAGATTAAAGTTGAAAGTGGGATGTGTTGTTGGATATGACCTGACATAACATGATATAACATGATATAACCAAAACCAATAATTTGGTTTGCTCCGAGAATGGGATGTTTACAAATTAATGGTCATTGCAATGGAGAAGCTTATATTAAGCCACCGGATTTGGTTTTCCCTGATTTTGAGACACGTCACTATCATAACCTTGCGATTCCATAATTTGGAATAGTTCTGAGAAAGTACATCTGATTAAATCATGTTAAATATTGATCCCCCGTGGTACCGCTCAAAAGGGTCTAGTCCTGGAAAAAAATGCCTTAAATCGTTTGGTCCACAACCTTTTGGAATTGATTTCCAAAGGGTACAACCCAACAGATTTAAGCCAACAACCAAGTTGCAATTTCCCGGGCAAACAAATTAAAATCCTGTTCCCGGGCAAACAAATTAAAATCCCGGGCCCAGAGATTTTTTTCCTGTACCCCAACCTTGTTTGGAAAACCATGCAATCCTGGCAAGCAAATCTTCGAAACATATAAAATCCTGTGGTACAACCTTATGTTACTAATCCTGCTTTCCTGGCTCCAACATTTGTTTTCCTGAACCCCAACCTTGCGACATCCATTTTTTGATGATTTTTACCTGACTTGGCATTTTTATTCGCCGAAGTGGAGTCACAGGGAAAAAAATTACCGGTACAACGGGGGATAAATATTGGTCCCAAAATACAGTAACCTTGGCTGCAGGAGTTATAATCTCATTAATAATTTTTAAGGGCTACAACTGCAAACTAATTTATCACATGAACAAAATTCATCCATAGACCTCGGGCATTACTGTAAATGCAAAATCCATAGGAGACCCCCTAACATAGACCCCAGACAGATTTATCAACCATACAAAACTCATTCAGGCCAGTAAGATAAATCAAGTGCAAAATCCATACGAAACCCCTAACATAAATACCAGACTCATTCACCAAACTCATGTGGGCTACTACCCTAGATATTGCGGGTAAGCGCAAAACCCATACAAAACCCCTAACATAGATACTAGACTGATCCACCTTACATTCCCAGCTCATCCAGACTACTAACATAGATGTTGAATCAAAATGCAAAATCGATACAAAACCCATAACATAGATCCAATACTACTTCACTCAGCATGCCAAAATCACTCAGGCTACCACTAACATAGATGTTGGAAATTAAGTGCACCATGCATAACAAAACCACTAACATAGAGATTCATTTGGATTTGCCAAGATGCGAAACCACTAACGTAGATCATGGAGAACGTGTTGCAAAATGTAAAACCATAGAAAACCACCAACATAGCTCTTGGGTTTCATATGTAAAACCCACATTTGGAGACTAACATAGATATTGGAACATTTATCAGGATCCTTCCAGAAAACAAACGAGGATGTCGCTTTTTTCCCCGTCAATTTTGACACCTTCGTTTGTTTTAAAGAGAGTATGATTCTTATATGTCTCGAACAATGATCTTTGGGCCATGGTGAACATTTCATGGCACTATCCCTGTGAGCCGAACGCAGGCCTATTTCCTCCATGAAATGGTAAGGCATGATGATCTTCCAAATAGCTATGATGGGCAACATTCCGATGAACACAATACCGAAACCAGGAAAATAAAGCAACAACATGCAACAAAATGCAACAAAAAACACATCGTGGGGAGAACAGTAACTTTATTTTCAACATGTTTTGATGATTTCTGGATAGCAACTGACCTAACCATCTTGTGCGATCATCTGCCCTGGCTGATTTTTGATTTTCGTAATCCCCCAATGAATGGAGATCCGCACCGGACAAGGCGGCTTCTTTGTGTCGGCGGTCTCAGAAAATCGCGCATGCCTTGATGTTCCTGCAAGCTTCCTGCAGCCATTCTGCTTGATCGAAATCAAAGATCAAGGAGCAGAAGAAGACATCGGTCCTGAGGAGCAGAAGATTGCTGCATGTGAAAGCTACGGCTGTGGGGTATATCTGTTTGCCCAAAGATGGGTTCTCTTCTCCAATGTTCGAAAATTATAAGGGGAAAATGGTGATTTTTTTTGATCAACCATGGGATTCTAAGACTCTCCCGGATTTTAAATGATTTTAACGTAGTTTATGGGGACTTCATCTGTGCATGTGGCTTCCATTTTGCAGTCACCGTTTCTCCCTGGCCATAGATTCCTCACTTTGATTGGTCGGGGGTTGGCAGCGTCAGATCCCTCACAGTTATGCAGCCCTCCACAAGAACAAACCACATACCCTGAACACACACAGCTGGGAATTCTCCTAAACATAGGGCTTTTAATGGGAAAATTAATGTAGAAATGGTGGTTTTCTAGCCAACCATCTTTGATTAGCAGAGGGTTAAACTCTTCAAACTTCCCTGCATGGCTTCACAACCAGTTCTCTTGGAGAATGGACCATCCAAGTCTGAGTTTCAGGCTTCCCATGATCTCATGATTCGTATATTTCTTGGCAAACATGGCCCGGAGAATCTCGTATTATCTGATTGTATCATAGGTTTTCTTCATGGTTTTGACCCATCCCCCTTTTTATTTGCTGATCAAAGTGCCATGTTAATTGAACAAAAAACAGTTTGTTGGATAAACCATGATACGAACCTCCAGATTTGGTAGGTTTCAGGGATGAAACCAAGAACAAAAATATTTTGGGTGCCTCATAGCTTCATGGTTCATTATCATAGCTTCATTCATTTCAAGAAAAAATCACACCATCCCCAAGTGATCAGGGCTTATCTTCTCAAGCCCAAGAAATTGGAGTTTAAGATGAAGAAACTTGACTCAGCCACAAATTGCCGTGATGCTTTTGGGGCTTCCACAAAAAACCATGTCGGCTCGCCATTTCGGAACCATACCCAATTCTGCCATCAAAACATGGTGGAGTATTGTCATCCATCCATCTTTTTTTTAAAATCTTATCAACGGGCATATTTCGACCTGGCATTGATGACATTAAAATACACATCTTTAATGGGTCATTAAAGATTACATTTAAATTCTTCATCTTAAAATAGGATTGATGACCATTTTTTTACTTTTTTTGAAAGTCGAGTCCAAGTCAAGTCCAACATCCTGCAACATCCTGCAACCCAGTGGCTCTTGCAAGACTTTCGCCACCACATCTCGCCTCTCTGCAATGTCCTGCTGCTCATTGATTGATTTAACGATTGTTTTTAAAAATTAAATCCTATGATTTTCCATAGCACACCGTTAAATTACCATAGGGTAAATCATCAATTTTCATTTTTATCCTATACTTAGCCTATAATTTTCCCATAGTTATCCTATAATTGTCCATAGTATTCCTATATAAACCCATTAATATGGTATTTCCACAGTATTTCACATAGTATTTCCATAGTATTCCATGGTATCCCATTCTATATCCCATAATTTCCTATGGGACAATTGGCGCCTGGTCAGTGAAGACGCAAATGGAGAGGCCAGGAACGACAGCTTGCCTGGAGGTCGCCGCCGAAGACGTCCAGTTCATGGTGATTCATCCGGATACATCTATGTTATATAATGTAGATATAGATATAGATATAGATTTATTAAACATGTTGATACCCATAGTGATATGTTATCATATATATATAAATTATAAAGATTTATTCAGCCATATGTAATGCTGACATCGTATTCATACCCCCCTCAAACATGAAGGGAACGTAAATAATGTTGAGGTCAAACAAAGGCCTGGGGTCCATGTTTTTTTTTCACAGCTAAGTCTTGCGGAACAAATTTATTTATTGAAAACGAATACATACGTGTCACTTTGAGATCAATCTGAGTATTGGTGAGCAAATTGCCTAATTGAAAACGAATACATTTAAAGAAAACCGTTGAAATGAATGGAATCGCAATTAGTTTGAAGTTGAATTAGAATAGACTTTGTTTGGACTTTCAGGAAGGTCCGAAGAATTGGAGTCCTTTATTTAAGGCTTGAGATAGCAAAAGTAATTCACTTTAAAGGGGATTTAGAAAGCTAAGTATATTCACCCAAATCCCCACAGAAAAAATCCAGTTACTTTATTAAGGGGTCTTTCCTTTTGGTTCCGAGGTGGTTCAAGGCTCCCTCCCTCTCCCCTCGAAATTGCTGCATCCAGGTCTTTGGGGAGTTGAATTCAGATCTATGAGGTCAAATTCAATAAAACCAGGAGGGACACATATCTGGAAAAGATGGGAAGATAGAAAAACAACCGTCCCCAAAAACGGGTAGTGGACCCTTTTTTGGGGCTGGTTTTATTAGTGGGGCCAGCGCGTTGGCGTACTTTATTGTGACGGGGCTTATGAACCTGATGTGAATATTGCTGTAAATGTATATATGTTATGTACATGTATATATATATATACATATTACGTTACATAATATGTTCTGTATATGCATTCATGTATAGTTGCACATACCCATATATCATTTTATACCTATATGTATCTATATGTACATACGGAGAAATTTCAAGGATACACTGTGCATCCAAATCCACTGGTGAAGCATCGTTTAAAAAGGCGTGGAAAAATCCCTATTTCCAGACAAACCCAAATCATGTTGTTGCTCATAATCATCTGCATCATATAAAATGAACATATACATGTGTGCACAAATATAATTATATATACCACAATATCTCATCATATCCCCATTACACTCCCCTCGTACCACCTCCATGTTGATTTGGCTTCATGTGTTTTTCCTCTGAAATGAAGTAATAATCCCCAAATTTATCATAGTTGATTTTCTATGACTTTCTTACAACTTGCCCCTTTCATGCCATAACTTGGGTGGACATCCGATATATCCACCATTTTCAGGTACCAGACCCCCCTCCCAGACCCCTACAAATTTCATGGCCAACCTCGCAGCGGCGCGGTAGAGTCGAGCATTGAAGGTCTCGAAACCGGTGATTAGGGTGATCCTGGGCCCGACGGTGGTCTCTTTCAGATCGTGGGGTAGCACTACTCATCCAAGAAGTGTTTTTGTGTTCTAATTTATCATGGATCCATATGGATCCCCCATTCAGAAATCATAGGTTTTTTTTGCGCAAATATTTTTCATCCGATTCAAAAATAGTGGTAAAAGGTTAGGTTGCACGTGCATCTTTTTTAGGTTGCACTCACTAGAATTTTATACCTCAACTGATGCTATTTTTCTTGATGCAATGTGTACCATCCCTTCAACATAGACAGGATACTGGCTGCCTTGCATGATCTCCCTGCCCTGTGAATTCTTTTAAATTCTCCAAGTAGTCTATGAATTGTGAGTGTATGCTCACACCAAATCAGTCTGAAATCATAGAAACATCATATCTTCCGGGAACACTCCCATGTCAAGATAACACCTGCACCTCCTAGATTTCAATCCAGGCAAATCAATTTCGTCTATGCAATCCTAATAGGGTGACCGTTCCATTTAGCACTGGTGAACCCAATACTTTGGGAACGCTTTGTGTGACAGAGTGTTGAGGAGTTGGGCTTTTCTTTGGACATAGCCAACTACTGTTCTCGATCTTCCCCTAGATCCATTTATGATTCCCCATTTCATCCATTTCTAGTGGATTTCCAATCGGGAAAAATCCACCAAATCGTCAGCAAATTCCCGGAGGTTCCATATACCCTCCAGTAAACTAACAGAACATCACCATATTTTTCGTAAATCAACATAAATCAACAATTCTCCCATATTTTCCATCGCAAACTCCCCAAGAAATCAGGTCTGGCCTGAAACGCACGTCTCCCGGACCACGTTCTTCATACTCGGTTGTGACTGGCGTCGGCCTGTCTCATCCATGGAAAACTGGCCAGTTTCTCCCATCAGATTGTGAATTTGAGATATTTAAGCATCATTTGGATGGCTCGATATATTCTGGTTGGTGGTTTCAACCTACCCCTCTGAAAATGATGGACTTCGTGAGTTGGGATGATTTTCCATTCCCAATTCATATGGAAAGTTATCCAAATTCCATGGTTCCACACCACCAACCAGATAGTTGTAGTTATAACCATATTAGCTAAACAAATAATTATGAAACTATATTAACATATATTAACCATATATGCCTATAGCTATAACAATATATAGATCCCCCATTAGTTAACATCCCTTTTAACTAGTTCTATTCCCCTTAAACCCGAATCATTCGCCCCCCTAAACCCGGTCACCTCCCAACACTGTCGCGGCGAACAGCGCCGACCTCATCGGACTCCTGGGATCAATCCAAGTCACAGGGCCCGTGGCTGAGAGCGTTGCCGTTAAATTCGTGGCTGATTTATATAGTGTAACTACAGGATGGGGCCCCCAAGATAGCGTTCAGTTGGTTTATAAGTGGCTGAATTCTATGGTTTATGGTAGATATAACTATAGTTAATGGGGATTATAAGGGTTATAAACCAACTTATAACTGTGGGGCCCTATCTTGTATGGTTTTTGGTCGATTTTTGACGAATCTACCATAACTGGGGGGGCATCTATGGTCGATTTTTGACGAATCTACCATAACTATGTTCAGATGGAGTTTATAAACCAACAAACATAACTGGGGGGCCCCATCCTGTACCCTCCGCATCCCGCAAGGCCCGAATAGACAAAAGACGGGACCAATGCTCGACAAACATCGGCAGTATCAGTAGTAACGCCCCCGTAAAATTTCTCCAACGTTCAAGGTAGGTATGGCTTATTGATGCTTATTGTTTATACCTGGCGTTGGATATTGTGGTTTATTACGATGGTTTACGGTGGCGCTATTTGACTCTTGCTGATTCCACGGTACCATGGCACTCAGCACAGTGGCCTCCTCTGCATCCGCTGCACCTGTCAACTTGTTGAACCAGTCTCGCACCTGAGACCGGCTCAGTTGGGACCCCCTGCATTAGCTCAACTCTCAACTCGGCACCATGATCTTTGCGTGTTTCACTATAGTAGCACCAATGATAGTAATACTAATAGTAAGTAGTAATAGTGATGAAGTAGTTGCGACATTAGTATTATTACTATTCAGTTGAAAGGGATTTGATGCGACGTTAGAAGTGACTGCGGATTCCCTTGAGACCTTACCACAAACAGACCGATACTGACTGGTAGAAGGGCAAATTTGTCGTTGAAGATGGGTGGTGTATTTCACCTGAAGATGGATGACCATAGCCTCGAAGGACTATATACCTTTGTTGACTTCGCCCTCAAATCGTTTTGGGGAGATCTGAACATTGGGGACATGTTCTATTGTCATCTATTTTCATACGTGTTTCAGGTTTTTGGTTCCTCCCATTGAAGCCAAACATTCCCGGCACCCAAATTCACGGGCCCAATATTTGCGTCTTCTTTGCGTCTTCACAGCTACATTTTTGGCTGGTTATACGTTTCTCTCCTCGTTTTGTTCTAAAAACAATTTGGCAAAATCGACATCTTCATTTGTTACATCCACACCGGTCTGGTGATCCAGTTACATCCGCACCTGTCTGTTGTTGTTTCTACTGTCATTTTGCTGCAGACATGTTGGCGCTAACATGTTTAAGTTCGATGACTGGCGCTTAAACTCATGTGTTTTGGTTGCTTCAACTCCCATTTTGCTCCATTCCATCTGAAAACTATTTTGACCCAGTCTCAGCCCTAAGTTTGCTACTGAAATCTTGATGAACTCCAGGATGCTGCCCCCCAGTTATAAGTTGATCTATAATATCCTTTAATATCTTTTAATTATAGTTAAAAATTAGTTAAACTATATTAACCATATATGGCTATAGCTATAACAATATATAGATCCCCCATTAGTTAACATCCCTTTTAACTAGTTCTATTCCCCTTAGACCCGACTTATTAGGCCCCAAGCTAAACCCGGTCACCTCTCAACGGTGTCGACGTGGCCTCCTCCTCATTGGCTTCGTTCGAGGCTCCGAGCTCTCCTGAAACTTCGCCTGCAGAGTGGGGCGATGATCGGATCCATTGCAACTGGGCCTGGAACATGCCAAAATGCTGTGGAATAAAGATTAATATAATATAATAAATTATAATATATATGTATATAAATATAATATATTAAAAACATCTATAAATAATACATTATATATATACTAGACGACGGATGGCCCGAGAGCGTAGAGGAGCAGGGTCTTCTCTTGTTAGTATGGAGACACAATTTTACAAACAATATATGAAAGATGTGTTATAGGCAGTCGAGAAGAGGAGTAGCAAGACAAAATAGTGAGAAGTGCAAGACAATAGTTTGCATCGCAAACACTTTTACACACAGACGCTTTTACACACAAAAGCTTTTACACACAGAAGCTTTTACACACAGAAGCTTTTACACACAAAGCTTTTACCCACAGAAGCTTTTACATACAGACGCTTTTACACACAGATGTTTTTACACACAGACGCTTTTACACGGACACTTTTACACACAGACACGTTTACACACAGACACTTTTACACACAGACCTTTTTACACACAGGAGCTGCTTTTACACACAAACGCTTTGACACACAGAAGCTTTTACACATAGACGCCTTTACACACAGGCACTTTACACACAAACACTTTTACACACAAACACTTTTACACACAAACACTTTTACACACAGACGCTTTTACACGCAGACGCTTGTACACACAGAAGCTTTTACACACAAACACTTTTACGCAGAAACACTTTTACACACAGACGCTTTTACACACAGACGGCTTTACACACAAGCGCTTTTACACACAATCACTTGTACACACAGACGCTTTTACAGAGAGGCCGGCCCATGTACTCACAGCGAAGTCATCGTTGTCGTGGCGACCTCAGCAATCCGACGGGGTGGTGTGGCGAAGTCCTATTTCCATGTGCCTCGAAACCAGCATGTAGAAACATGTCATGCGGGCTATGTGCTTTGGGGCCCCCCAACCAAGGTGGTTTGCCATCTCCTGAAAAAAAGTATAAACGGGCGGACCTGGCAGGCGGCGACCGTTTCTGGGCTGGGACACGCACAGTATTACAATATGATATAAGTTGGTTCTTTATGGGTTTAGGGTCCTGACTCCTGACTGTGACTGGAATTGAAACTCTTATCTTAACACTCATACATCCATCTCTATATATTAACACTCATACATCCATCTCTATATCATATCTCTAGCTCTATCTCAATATAACATATATCGATTTGTTTCTTTGTGGTAGCAGCTTATCCAGGTAGTCCATCCCATCCCGGGGCCCTGACTCGATGCAAACCTAGCTGCACAGACCAACAATGCGGACCCGCAAAGCATTCAAGGACTATGACTAATGACTGTGACAGATCACATTCAGCGATGTCCCGGCACAACTATATGCGCAAAAGGAATCGGCAGCTTTATTGCTCTTCTATGGAGTCTCAGACCGTTCTGCTTGACTCACGCCGATACACTATGGTGAGACAGGATGCACTATGGTGAAACTGAATGTCTCAAGCAAAGATGCGTGCATCAGCAAGTCTCAGACAGTTCTGGTTGACTCATGCTGATGCACTTCATTTTCAAATTCAATTGTCACGACGGCGTTGAGTCAGGCAAAGAACCGACCTGGCCCCCAGCCAGGGTGGGGGAACCAGCCTATCCCCTCAAACAATTATAGGAGCAGGCCATAATTACATACGCAGTATCAAAGTCTGAAGCTAAGGCCTAAGGGTATTAATTAGGACTCGATGATATGCACCACATCACAATACGTGACCAAGTATGTAATGTCATGGCGAGCCTAACTAAAACTTTTTTGTCCGTCCCGAGATTGTCCTGCAAAACCTTGAAGCGATCACTGCTTGCAGACTATCGCAGCTGTTGCATGCCATTCAGCATGGTCGGGTCCACTGGCACTGTGCTGCAAAACGATGAGTCCGCGCCGTGCAAGCGCGCCGTGCCAGCGAGAAGTAAGTCTGGATCGCCTCCTCGAAGTCGCTCAGCCGGAAGTAGTGGCTCGTATGTTGTTGGATCGCATCCAGGAATTGGTCATTCAGCCATGCGAATGTTTGGAAGCTGGCACTGTGTCCTCACCGCATCGATGAGGAACTCTCCCTGGTCAAGGCTCGCCAATGGATCTCTTAGTCCATGTGCAAAGCTCCTATACTCCTTGCTCACCCTTTTCTTCACACATCTGTGATGACCTTGGTGATCGCCGCGATGTTCTTCTCCAGGAAATAGCTAGTTACTTGCTTCTTCAAAATGAGCTCGTCAACCATCAATTTGAAACCACTCGATCAAGACTGAAAAAGATCAATTGACCATCTCAAAGGGGATCACTTTGAAGAAGCAACAGAAAATAGTTTTTGCTTTTCTTTACTTAGAAACGTCCGTCCGTCCAGAGAGAGGCCTATCTGCCCACAACAAGAGATCTGGGGGGAACCAGGGTTACTGGCACTGCAGGCCAAAGGTTATCATAGATTCAATTGGGAGGAAGTGACAATAGATGTACCATGGCTGATGGCAAGGCCATGGTACACCATCACCTCCATTGAAAGTCATAAGACCTGAGGAGGAGCCTGGACACGTATACCTTATATCGTGTGTGCATGTGTCGATGGGGTGGCGTGGCGAAGTCCCATTTCCATGTGAACCGGAAAAAAAAGGAAATGATGTGACTCGAAACCAGCATGTATAAAGATGTCATGAGGGCTGTGTGCTTTGGGGCCCCCCAACCAAGGTGGTTTGCCATCTCCCCAAAAAGAAATATAAACGGGCGGACCTGGCAGGCGGCGAACGTTTCTGGGCTGGGACAAGCACAGTATTACAATATGATATAATGGGATGGCCCTTGTGCTCCTTTGCATGTGCTTTTTGGGTTTAGGGTCCTGACTCCTGACTGTGACTTGAATTGAAACTCTTATCTTAACACTCATACATCCATCTCTATATATTAACAGTCATACATCCATCTTTATATCATATCTCTATCTCTATCTCAATATATAATATATCGATTTGTCTCTTTGTGGTAGCAGCCTGCCTATCCAGGTAATCCATCCCATCCCGGGGCCCTGACTCGATGCAAACCTAGCTGCACAGACCAACAATGCGGACCTGCAAAGCATTCAAGGACTATGACTAATGACTGTGACAGATCACATTCACTGATGTCCCGGCACAACTATATGCGCAAAAGGAACTGACAGCTTTATTGATCTTCGATGGAGTCTCAGACCGTTCTGTTTGACTCACGCCGATGCACTATGGTGAGACAGGATGCACTATGGTGAAACTGAATGTGTCAAGCAAAGATGCGTGCATCAACAAGTCTCAGACAGTTCTGGTTGACTCATGCTGATACACTTCATTTTCAAATCGTCTTTGCGCCAATATGATTACATGTATGCAAATGCTCGTGCCACCGGTGACAGGTAACCGGAAAGGTCTGTACCGCCCCAAGGCAGGACGGACCCACCAGCCAGGATCGCAGCCTGCACATGATGGTCACATGCCTGCACGGTGCCCGTCTCTCAGACAGTTCCGGTTGAAACGGGCCGTTGAATCCATTGAATGTGAAAATACCACTGCAGCTTGAGTTAAAACCATGACAGAACTTGTTATTGAGGACCTTGAGCCGCCATCAAAATGAAATAGTAGTGATGCCGTCAAAAATCGTAGTGAAATGAAGACGAATGAAGTGATAGTCTGATAGTTTTCCATACAGATAGTCTCTATGCATATGTGAAACAAGCTGAGTCCGCGACAGATGCTCCACAGGTTCAGCCGAGGGCTCGTGCAAGCGAGTGCAGTGATTGGATAGTTTGAAGTGTCTTCACACATGAAAATCTGCGGGTCTTAATCAAAACAAACGTGTGACATGGCATCAGTTGGATCTCTAAAATGTGACTGTGTAGGTCCATGATGGTCACATGCCTGCACGGTGCCCGTCTCTCAGACAGTTCCGGTTGAAACGGGCCGTTGAATCCATTGAATGTGAAAATACCACTGCAGCTTGAGTTAAAACCATGACAGAACTTGTTATTGAGGACCTTGAGCCGCCATCAAAATGAAATAGTAGTGATGCCGTCAAAAATCGTAGCGAAATGAAGACGAATGAAGTGATAGTCTGATAGTTTTCCATACAGATAGTCTCTATGCATATGTGAAACAAGCTGAGTCCGCGACAGATGCTCCACAGGTTCAGCCGAGGGCTCGTGCAAGCGAGCGCAGTGATTGGATATTTTGAAGTGTCTTCACAAATGAAAATCTGCGGGCCGCACAGTTCGGTCATTCTGAGTGCATTTGCACACACAGACTTATTTACACAACGATGCCCCTACACACAGACACTTTCACACACAGACACTTTTACACACAGACGCTTTTACACACAGACGCTTTTACACACAGACACTTTTACACCGCTTTTACACACAGACGCTTTTACACACAGACGCTTTTACACACAGACACTTTTACACGCAGACACATTTACACAAACACGTTTACACACAAACATTTTTACACACAGACACTTTTACACACAGACACTTTTACACACAGAAGCTTTTACACACAGACGCTATTACACACAGACGCTTTTACACGCAAAAGTTTGCACACAAACAGTTTTACACACAAACACTTTTACACAGAGACGCTTTTACACACAGAAGCTTTTACACACAGACGCTATTACACACAGACGCTTTTACACACAGACGCTTTTACACACAGATGCTTTTACACACATCGCAATTTTACTTCAGTTTTTGGCGATCCAACCTCATTTCGTGCGAAAGGGACGTGCGAAAGGGTCGCGCGGGACAAGTTGAAATCGCAATTTTACCTCAGTTTTTGCCGATCGAACCTCATTTCGTGCGAAAGGGTTGCGCGGGACAAGTTGAAATCGCAATTTTACCTCAGTTTTTGACAATCGAACCTCATTTCGTGCGAAAAGGTCCACCGGAAACACGAAATCGCAATTTTACCTCAGTTTTTGACGATTGAACCTCATTTCGTGCGAAAGGGTTGCGCCGGACGACTTGAAATCGCAATTTTACATCAGTTTTTGGCGATCGAACCTCATTTCGTGCGAAAGGGTTGCGCGGGACAAGTTGAAATCGCAATTTTACCTCAGTTTTTGGCGATCGGACCTCATTTCGTGCGAAAGGGTTGCGCGGGACAAGTTGAAATCGCAATTTTACCTCAGTTTTTGGCGATCGAACCTCATTTCGTGCGAAAGGGTTGCGTTTCGTGCCGTCTCGTTGCCACTGCCCCTGCTCCCGCCTTCAAGAAAGAAATAGAAAAGAAGGAGAGGGCAAGAGGGCAAGAGGGCAAGAGGGCAAGAGGGCAAGAGGAGAAGGTGTGAGATGAGAAGATGTAAAGATGAGAAGATGTGAGAAGATGTGAGAAGATGTGAGAAGATGTGAGAAGATGTGAGAAGATGTGAAGATGAGAAGATGAGGAGAAGATGGGAGGATGAGAAGATCTGAAGATGAGAAGATGAGGAGAAGATGGGAGGATGAGAAGATGTGAAGATGAGAAGATGTGAAGATTAGAAGATGTGAAGATGTGAAGATGTGAAGATGAGAAGATGTGAAGATGAGAGGATGTGAAGATGAGAGGATGTGAAGATGAGAGGATGTGAAGATGAGAAGATGTGAAGATGAGAAGATGTGAAGATGAGAAGATGTGAAGATGAGAGGATGTGAAGATGAGAGGATGTGAAGATGAGAAGATGCGAAGATGAGAAGATGTGAAGATGACAAGATGTGAAGATGAGAAGATGTGAAGATGAGAGGATGTGAAGATGAGAGGATGTGAAGATGAGAAGGTGTGAAGATGAGAGGATGTGAAGATGTGAAGATGAGAGGATGTGAAGATGAGAAGATGTTTTAGAGACCCCCACTATTGGAAGAACCCTGCGCTCAGACGCTCTCGGGAATATATATATATATTTTAAAAAATAAAATAGTATACAATATATATAAATACAAAATAATATATATTATATGAATATATATTATCTAAAAACAATATTTCAAAAAATACTATATATATATATTTATATACATATTATCAGATAAAATATATAATAAAAAACATTATGATTTATTACATATATCATATATTGAATATATAGAAATATCATATATATATTATTAATATATATATATTATAGCAATTCTATATCTATCTAAAAATATATATATATATATACAAACAATAAAAAAATATATAAGATAAAATGTATACTCTGGAAATTAAAAAATACTATATATAATATATACTATATACTCTATAGTATATACTAAGAGTATATAGTATATACTATACTATATATTATATACTCTATATTTAATACTAAAAATGATATACTATAGAAAATATTAAATACAATATTTAATAAATATATTACATTATATACGATATATTATCTACTATGTATATAATATAGTAAACAAAAGAGTATATAATATATATATAGTATCTAATATAGTATCTAATATACAATATATAATATTGAAAATAAATAGAAGATATAACATATTATAATATAATACATATCAAATATTATGTATCCAATTTCTCGATGATTCTCAAATGCAAAGATCTGGATGAAGTATTTCACAAGTCGACTTTAAATTTGGGGTCATTTTGGAACTGTACAAACCATGCATCATCTAGAATCTACAGTCACATGTCGAAGGTGATCTGAGTATTAAGCGATATTCAATTGCGAAAATGAAAGATGGTGATTTTGGTCTGTCCAAAACAAGGGGGATTTCATGGGATTTTTTGGGGAAACGGAGTTTCTTAACCATGGGATATGATGGAATATGATGGAAGGGGGTCTCTTATATTCAGACAAAACTTATGGGCAAAGCCCCTCGAGTGTAGTGTACATTGTATCTTATCAAGGCAATTTCTGCCAACATCCTGAAAAATAAAAGAACCTTCATATCTTCATATCCAGCGGACAAAAGGTAGAACAAGGAGAAGTGAGCGACTTGGAACATTTTTGAAGAAACAGGGTGCCGTAACAACTCTTTGATAACCTGGATGATCACATGGGCACCCCAATTTCTGGATAAGGACAAGAAAACAGTGACATACAACGACATAATAAGGACATATCACATGATCGCTTGGGGTCTCCAATTCTCCCAGAAAGCTCGAAGATGTCAGAGTTTCAGGGCCTGGGATCGATTCGCCCAAGCCGAATTTTCGCACGTGCTGACTTCGGCCAGTGCTTCGTATCGTTTCTGACAAAGCAGTCTGACCCAGTATTAGCCCAACATTTCAATGCAGTCTGTTGGTAAAAGGAAATCATGCCTATCTTGGTGGTTCAACCCCGTTGAAAGATGTTGGTTGATGAGGATTGTCATCCCAATAACCATTTGAGCTATCGACTGTGTCCCATACCCAACAGGAAACTCCTGGAATTCCTGGAATGACGCCCACCTGCAGCTTCGAAGGCTGGATGTTGAAGTAATGACCTGGGACACTTCCATGGCATCTTGAGAGGTGGTCAGGTTAAGCTGGGTATGGCTGGGTTGGATGGGGGAGTAGTTGAAGAGTTGAAGTCCGCAGTCCATTTTTCGATGTTGGTAGTTCCACCGGGTCTTGACTCTCATTGGGTGGGCACTCAGACCATCCCAAGTGGGTGGCAAAATGAAGACGTGTTTGAAACTAGCAAGTGTAGTTAAGCATGCCACAACATCCCAAAAAGGATTCAAGATATACTGTAAAATATGTTTGACACCACCAATTAGTTACTGCATCTAGGTTATAATATGTATAGACCAATCCTATTTTTGTTGACAATTCCGTTTTTGGATGACTAAACCGCTGCAAACCCCCAAACCGTCACCCAACATCAGACAACTCTGTGAAACCAGATCAATCCCATATACCCATATACCATCTGGTAGTCAGACATAGCAATGGAAAATCCAGCTGAACCCCTCTTTTTTTTGGCGCATGGATCCAGCACCAGTCGCAGCCCAAGTGTCAGTAAGAGATCCTTGCCACGGATGAGATTCGTCAGGGGCAAATGGCCTGGACGCGGAGATGGGTCGACTTGGAGCCTGATTTTCCCCATGGAGGATCTAATGATTTTAAGGGGAACTATGAGACATGAACCGCCAAAGTAATCTATAGTTGGAGGGTGATCCAACATGGGAATTAGGATCAAATATGGGAAGACTGGGAAGACACATCTATGGGGGTTTTCATGGGGGACCTACCCTCCAAACATCCGAAATATATCCCTGGATGAACCTCCCCAAGAATGTCAGCGTGGTCAATAACTGGTATTAAAAACCACATATCATTGGGATAAGCCACGATTCGGGGACTTACTAACCTAACTAGTTACTCAGTGACTAAGTGGGATGATCCTCCAAGTACCATGGGAATATCACGAGGATATCATTTGCGAATACTCCGAAGTTGTCAATAATGGGATGAAAAACCAGGTATTTAGATGACACCTCAGCTGAATTGCTGGTAGTGGGAAAAAATGAGGATAAATCATGATAAAGCATGGGGTAAACCATGTAACACACATGGCTTTGTCTCAAAAATAGGGTCAAAACCAACACAACTTTCCCCTATCAACATGGTAATTCTGGGGTATACCGGTATACCTAAATTCAGATAAATAAATGTCCTTCCTTGGAAAACCAAAGTTTTTGTTTGAGTGAAATTCGGGTTTATCCTACCGTAGTACCCAGCCAGATGATATTTGGGATATGGACACACCAGGTACGTGGCCAATCTTAGATAGTCTGCATTGATTCTTGCAGGCTGGATCCCATTAATGGATATTCATGACAAAAACCAAAAATGTATTACACATGATTAAACTATCCTCTTCTCAAAAAAAAAGGCGCATCTCCAGCATTTTTCGCTTGTGTTTCTTTAACATTCGCAGAATGCCTTGCCAAAATTGGGGCATCCTTCACTGCACCTCCAGAATGCGATAAGAAAATGAGGCAAGACTCCGATGTCCTTTTTGATTGGGGTAGGTGAAGCATTGGGATTTACGATGATATCGTGTGTACTGTATATAGAGACTTACAAAATTACATATAATTACTGTACATACAATAGTAAAAAATAGTAATAATATAACTAAATAAAAATAATAAAAAAATAATATATAATAAAAATAATATATATATATATGCTAAAAGTGACACTAATGATCATAAAGATAATATAATACAATCATACTGTATGAATCATTCTAACATAAATGTTCAATCCCCTTCAAGGTCTCAAAGCTTCCACCTCGAGGCGCGTTCATTGTGTAGTCAAATTCGCGTCGTGGCCAATAGCGAAGCAACTCCTCGTGTCCCTACCCATCGAATGGGATCCCATTAGGATCATTGGATCATGGTAGGGACATAACATAGGGATAAATAATGGGTTAATCATCCGAGGACAAGGGGAGAATCATAGATCCATTATTAATCCGTTATTGATCCATTATTTAAGGATAAGAATGGGATAATCATGGGATAAAAACGAGCGAATCATAGGATATTTTTGTGGATAATCATAGGATTTCCCTTTGTCAACGGTGGATTTTTTCCATAAACAAATCCATAAAAAGTGATACGGCGTTTCAAAAAACCCAAGGTGACCGTTCTCCCGTTCTCCTTGGAATAAACTTTCCCCCCATTGGGACACAAACCTATCGTTTTTCGGCCTCTGTCATCCGACACTTTGACCCTGCCGTCCTGGTCATGGCCTTCGGCACGCTGCAGCCATCCAATTTGTGCCATGAACTTCTTGAGCTCTGCAGGACCACCTGGCGAGATCCCCTTGCTGGCTAAACAAGGGGATATCATGGGTCCCATGCAACATGATCTATGATGAAATTGGTCAAACACGCGGATGTCATCAAATAAACAAAAATATAATATATATACATATATGTATATGTAAGTATGCATGTATGTATGTATGTATGTAAGTATGTATGTAAGTATGTATGTATGTGTATGTATGTGTATGCATGTGTATGCATGTATCTATGTATGTATGTATGTATGTGTATGTATGTGTATGTATGTGTATGTATGTGTATGTATGTGTATGTATGTGTATGTATGTGTATGTATGTGTATGTATGTGTATGTATGTGTATGTGTATGTATGTGTATGTAAGTGTGTATGTATGTATGTGTGTGTGTATGTATGTATGTATGTTTGTTTGTTTGTTTGTATGTAATGTATGTATGTATGTAAGTAAGTATGCATGTATGTATGTATGTATGTAATGTATGTAATGTATGTAATGTATGTAATGTATGTAATGTATGTAATGTATGTAATGTATGTAATGTATGTAATGTATGTATGTAAGTATGTAATGTATGTAATGTATGTAATGTATGTAATGTATGTAATGTATGTAATGTATGTAATGTATGTAATGTATGTATGTATGTATGTATGTATGTATGTATGTATGTATGTATGTATGTATGTATGGTAATGTATGTATGTATGTATGTAATGTATGTATGTAAATGTATGTATGGATGTATGTATGCATGTATGTATGTAAGTATGCATGTATGTATGTATGTAATGTATGTAATGTATGTATCTGTGTAAGTAAGTATGTATGTATGTATGTTTGTTTGTATGTAATGTATGTATGTATGTAAGTAAGTATGCATGTATGTATGTAGGTATGTGTCTATGTGTATGTATGTATGTATGTAAATGTATATGTATATGTAAATGTAAATGTATATGCATGTATGAATGTACATGAATGTAAATGTATGTATTTGTATGTATGTATGTATGCATGTATGTATGTATGTAAATGTATGTATATGTATGTATATGTATGTATATGTATGTGTATGTATGTATATGTATGTATATGTATATGTATGTAAATGTATGTAAATGTATGTATGTGTATGTATGTAAATTTACATGTATGTAAATATATGAATGTAAATGTATGTATATATATATATGTATGTATCAATATGCATGTATATGCAAATGAAAATGGATATGTATATGTAGGTATGTAAATGTAAATGTAATTGTAGGTATGTATGTATGTATGTATCTAGGTAAGTAGGTAAGTAGGTAAGTAGGTATGTAGGTATGTAGGTATGTATGCATGTATGTGTGTGTGTAAATGCATATATATATATATGAATATGTATATGTAGAGTACATGTAAATGTAAATGTAGGTATGTATATGTATGTGTATGTGTATATGTATATGTAGATATATTTGTATACGTATATGTATATGTGTTTGTATGTAGGTATGTATGTATATGTATGTATGTAGTGTACTGTACTGTACTGTAATGTAATGTAATGTACTTTAATGTAATGTAATGCAATGCAATCCATGTATGTATGTATGTTTGTATGTATGTATGTATTTAATTATGTATACAATTATGAATATAATTATGAATATAATTATGAATATAGTTGTACAGTTTTTAATTATATATATGTATACAAAATCAACCAAATCTGATTTTTAACATGATTCAACGAAACATCATGGATATGTAAATGTATATATATATATAGAATTCCACGGGATATTTTTTCGTTTAATTGGATTTTAAACGAACAATATGATTTGGGTGTGTTTGAAGATAGGGGACTTACCCCCGATCAATTCCCATTTGATGGGAATGTGATGATGAAGCCGTGGATTTAGGGAATGTACCTCGTTGTTAGGTCCAAACGCTTGCAGTATTTAGGCTCAAACATGGGGTACGACTGGCAGGGGAATCGATTACTATTAGCACTACTATTTACAATCCCCAGCTCACTAACCAGGGAAGGTAATCAAAAAAATCATGCAGTACAGTACTTCGGAGTTTGCTTTTAAAATGAATATGGCTCAAAATCCATTGTTCATAGCAATTTCGATCATGAATCTGCCAATCAGTTGGGGTATATACTTCCCCGCTTCAAAACCAACACACATGATTTGGACAAATTTCGTCATAATCATCAAAACTCATGAGGAAAACATGCCATGTTGTTCGGATGATGACCCGAATCCTAGGCATCGTTCGCAGTGACTTGTTCTCAATGCTAATCTTGGACAACCTGCAATGTCGTGTTTTGCCGGGTGGGCTTGGCATCCGTAGCCGCAAGTACGGAACTGTCCACAAATCATTGAAAGTCCATGCAGTTTGTTTAATTAATCAAAGATATTTCAGCTGATTAAACCAGATTAAACCAGATTAAACAATAACTAACCATGTTAACTCAGATTGAGTCCCATTAAACCATACTAGTCCCACGATTTTTCATGGCCCGCTTAACCTCGCCATCCAAGCAGCCCAACCCCCTGACAGCGCCGCTTCTCGCGGCACCTGCAAGGTGCAAAGCTTCACGTTGCACGCTGTAGCCGAAGCGTCCGTTGGACAAAGACAGCCAGAGCTGATCCTCAGTTCGCTTGAGGCACGCCGCCCGAACACATGTCAGATAGAATGCCAGAAAGACTCGCAGATAGAATGTCGGAATCGATGCCAGAATGCCTTAAAAAAAGGCAGAAGAGTATGTCAGGGTGGAGATCACTCGAAGTATTTTTTTCAACGAGTTGGGGTTAATCGTCGCTCCTCCCTTTTTTAGACATCGTGACATCTTCTGGAAGAGCGGTCCCTAGTTTGCTTCTCTATCTCAGCAACGGTGGCCTCTTGCGCAATGTCGGAAATGGTGCTGGATATGGCTGGCGGCTGGAGATGGGAAGCATGTTTTTTTTCCAGCATAGCAACCTCCAAATAGAATTTGGAAATTATGGAGGAAACAGAGCACGTTTCCGTCTTTTTGGGGACTACGTGGGATATTCTTGGGGTTCCCGGGAGCGTTTTCCCTCCGCTTCTGGAATCTACATGGGGGTTTGGCTTGGCCATCGGTATCTGTTGCAAGTTTTACGCCAGCGCAAAATGGTGGTTTCAACTATCGAAAATCGCGCTCGTATGGCTGGAAATGCTGGCAACCCTAACCTCAACATACCCAGTCTATCTTTGCCCAGCCATTTTTGACATGAATGTCTGTTTGGTAGATCTTTTAGCTCTCTATCCCAAACCTTTCTATCCCTAGCCTTTGCGGCTTACATCCTGAATATTGTTCATTGAGTCATCACGTTTGTAATTACAAGTTTTGTGTGGGATCCCAAACTGTCTCAAGCAACCTTTAAGTTTTTGTCCTGTCATATCATCCCTACCATCGGCCTGAAGATGCTGAAAAAACAATTTAGTATATAAATAAATGAATGAATGAATAAAAAATAACTCTCTGTATATGTGTACTTACATCTGTTTCATGTATATACCCACACATACTGTAACTTGGTTACTTACTGTATACATAGTAAATATATATATATATATATATATATATCTATATATCACATTCAATATCTGATGTAATAAACATAAACAGGTAGGTATATAAGTGTACTTTCAATACCAGCAAACGGCGTAAACAAAAACAAATGTATTGGTGTCTATATATGCACATATACACACACATACATATATATATATATTTATGCATCCATATATCTCCGCCGACTCCGGCAAGGACAAGGGGGAGCGCGCCAAGGAATAAGAGTTTCCTGCCCCAAGAGCAACAGCAACAGCAACAAACAAACAAACAAACAAACAAACAAAGAAACAAAGAAACAAAGAAACAAAGAAACAAACAAACAAACAAACAAACAAACAAACAAAGAAACAAACAAAGAAACAAACAAACAAACAAAGAAACAAACAAAGAAACAAAGAAACAAGGAAACAAAGAAACAAACAAACAACGACATCAACAACTTCACGTGATTTTGACGTCTTTTCGGCACGAAATGTAGGTGCTGTTGTGCTGTTACGGAAGCGCCGGCAAGGAGGGGAGGCAGGAGAAGATGCAGCAACGACAAAAGCAACTACACAGTCATGAAATCTGTTTGGCAGAGCGGCAGCAGCTCTGTGAGGCGTGGTTTGTTTAAAAGTGCGAAAATGATTGATTTTTCTAAGGATTCAGACGACGCGTTAGGCAGTTTTTCTCCTGGTCCGCGTTGATCTGCTATTTTGTTCCTCTAGCCTTAGCTTGCAAATCTTTGTTCAATACATCACCACCCGCACTTGGGTTGTTCTAATTAAGACAATCATCCAACCTAAACCATTGGAAACCGCCCAAAATCTTCCGCGATGCATGTGCGACCGGTGAAGATGCCGATGGTGAAACCCCCATTGGTTCTACCCCCATGATCAACGGTTGAATGATCTTTGATCGATGGTTTATGCTATGATCAACTATTGTTGGTCACATTTGCATCGCAGCCCAGCGGGGCTTCAGAAAAACCTGTCGTAAGTTCTTTGAAGTTGAATCAGATGGGTGGCTTCCCCGTCAACAGTTGATATCACCTCATGGTCCAAACACGTCGAAAACGGTGGATCATGATGGATTTGAATGGATTTGACGCATAGAGAAACTGCCACCTGCTGTGGGCCTTCTTTGTTTCCTGCCCTGGGATGCGAAAGGTGCGCTGATTGATGGGCAGGCATCATCTCACGCCATTTCAGATCCGTTGAGAGCGCCACGAGCCGTTGCATCAACGCCTCATGGAGTGATTGGTTCCTCCGGCCATTCCAAAAAAGACCTGGGAAAGGTCGCGCTTCTTCGTCCGAGAGCCTGCCAGTTCGGCATCTGCGGCTGCGCCGGCGAGGAGCCGCAGCCGCACCCTGCCACTGGTAGGGTCCGTCGTCACTCGGAGTGCTGGGGAAACGGCTCTTCAATCACGCTTCCCAAGGTCGGCACGCCAGACTGAGTACCGCTCACCTGAAATAAGGCAATTTTCAGATGATTTCCCTTATTAACCATGATTCCAGCGAGGTCGCGGTGAGGTCGTTTTAATTTGCACAGACATAATGTAGATATATCTACCATAAACATCCATAAACCAACATCACGTGCAATGTAGCGTCTACACGTCGCAGCCCATCGATCGAGAGGCCCGACACCTGGCAGAATTCAGCAGAGATGCTGGGAGACCACAAGAAAAAATTGGGTTGAAGCAAAAGAATTGTGGAGCTACTGGCCAAAATCTATGGGTTTCATTGGGTTTCCACAAGAAAATGCTTGTTTCACCAGTTAAACACAGAATTTCACCGGCAAAACTGTGGATTCCTGGCCAAACTATATCACATTTGGTGGGTTTTAAAAACACTCTTCTAAAATACGGGACATGACTTGACCAGGAAATGGTGGGCAAACTGCAGGCCTTCAATGGAAAATATATGGTGTCTGATCCCAAATCTTATGGTTTATCAATGGGGGTATAGATCCTCTCAGACAGAACCGTCTTGGCTGATTTAGAGGTGGATGAAACTAGTTTTGAAACCCGCAATCTTGGCCCTTGGATACTTGGATACCGTCTTTTGGCATTTTTAGCTGGGAAAGTCGAGATTCCTCCATTTGTAGCAATTATGTATATGACATGGCCACCATATCCCACCAGCTGGTGGGGCCCCTCACGACCATTTTGACAGAGAAAACACACACTTTTGTACCACAGCAATAAACATACACTTCAAGGGTTTCTTCTATCAAAATGAAATCTATCAAGGCAAGACTGAAACTCAAGCTGAACCATTGCGCTGACCCCCGAAAACACAGAAATAATGGCTAAAAGGCATGGCTTTAGACCGCAAAGCTCAATGGTATGACTTCGCAAACCAGAGGGTTTCAAGGCAGAGACCATATTCGAGGATGTTCACGGCAAAGTCGGCCTGTGGGGTCCAGGGTCACGTTGGAGATCGGTCTGGTGATGAGAAGGTCGAATGGTCCTGCCATGCTTGCATCATTTGCAGCGAATATACGCAGAAAGTGCCTGTGACTGCCTGTGCAAGTTGCTCATCGAAAACAGGATGTCCGGCACTCCGATGTATTGGATCGTCACGAAGGTTTGGAGCCGGAAATCGGCTGGCACTCCGTCGGGCAGCAGGTTGATGGCCTCGTCGCCGATAAAGGCACATGCGTCTCTTTGTAGAGACTCTAGGATGCAATCAACAAGTGAAATCTGGAATCTTCCGTGAGTTCTTCGTCCCACGGACTCCAAAAGTTGTTGAGTTCGCCAAGCGGGGGCGTGATCGGGCGCCTGATGTTGGTCTTTGCGAGGAAGCAAAATTCGTTGATGCTGCAGTCCCCAAGGTGATCCATTTTGAGCCAAGGTAAAATGGCGTTCACTTCTTGGTCATCAAGTTGGCTGGAAAACCAAATGGGGATAACCATAGATCAACAATAGTTTTGTCCATGAGCTAAAACTCTGGATGAAACCCACCATTGACGGTGAAGCAATAAGCCCCTAAATCATGGGAATAAACTATGGCAAACCATGCGCCGATGGAGGATCACCTCAAAACAAACCCAGGGTATTGTATCACCAGCACCTAGGGGTTTAAAAGAACAACTACGGTTGAAACCATGGGTTTTTACTAGTTTTTATCACTCATTGACCCTGGAAAACCACACCTTTCCTTCAATTTTCACCCCTGAAATCGGCAGACGCCGGCCACCTGTGGGCCCTGGCCCTGGGCCTCCTCGGGCTTCAGAAAGCCCCGCTGCAAGGCGTCGGGGCCTGCGAAGACGAGGAGCAGATCGCGGGTCACTTGATCCGCTTCTTCCTCGGCGGGAACTGATGGAAATTGTATGAAATTGTCACAACAAAACATCGTAATCATGATACCAGTAGTACAGCACAAGGCGGTGGCGGAAGTTTCAAAAATAGGAAACCTATAGGAGAGATTGGTTGTTGTGAATCAAGGATGGCAGAGTGAATCATTTTGCTTGAGGTCTCCTCTCTTTCTCTCTTTTTCTCTCCGTTTCTCTCTCTCTCTCTCTGATTATCTACCTACCTACCTAGTGAACTATCTGTCTACCTATCTATCTGTCTGTCTATCTACCTATCTATCTATCTATCTGTCTATCTATCTATCTATCTATCTATCCATCCATCTACCTACTGGGCGGACGTCGTTTCTTACCCCAGGCACCCAGAAGTTACCCCATCCCCATGGCACACAGGGTTACCCCAGGCAAACCGGAAGTTACCCCAGGGACCAAATCCTATTGGCACACTGTCACCACGCCATCGTTGGTTTGGCAAACAAACATGTAAAATGTGTCCGTGCCATTGCGAACTTTATATTTAATACCATCTCCTTTGGTGAAAAAACCATGTTGAAAGTGGGCAACCGCCATTGGCACACACGCATTGACAGCAAAACAGCTGCCTTCCATCCAAATGTGAAAAGCAACCAATTCTGCAGCACACGCCCCGTTTTCTTGTCATGACTCTGGACATGGATTCGTTTGTTTTCGGTACTTTAATTTTCTTTTTCCCAATGGCACACCTAGTCCCAAGTAAGTCGTGCAAAGCATCTCCGTCATTTACTAGAACTTGCGCCAGCCGCATGGCACACCGCTTCCGCCAGACATCAATAATCTTCCGCCAGGTGGAAATCCTATTGGCACACCGACGGTCAAAGTGGACTAATTCTGAAGCAAGCAACTCAAATATATCTATTTACTATGCATTTAATGTGCACTTGTTAACCAAAAGCTGGCAACCGTATGCCTGTTTAAACAGTCAGAACTATCATCCTCCGCATGACACACCAAGTTTCATGGCATTTCCAACATACAAACTTGGATGTGATCGACATTACATTCTTATGGTTTCTATGACAAATTCTACTTCATGCCAATCAACCCTTTCATCCACTTCCCCATGGCACACCGCTGATCTGATCGATTTTTTGTTCAGGTCATTTTCTTATGCTTTTGGTTTCTTCCGCACACCATCGTTGGTTTGGCAAACAAAATATTTAAACTGTGTCCGTGCCATTGCGAGCTTTATAGTTAATACCATCTCCTTTGGTGATAACACTATGTTGAAAGTGGGCAACTGCCATTGGCACACACATACACACATTGACAGCAAAACAGCTGCCTTCCATCCAAATGAGAAAGGCAACCAATTCTGCAGCACATGCCCCGTTTCCTTGTCATGACTCTGGACATGGATTCGTTTGCGTTCGGTACTTTAATTTTCTGTTTCCCAATGGCACACCTAGTCCTAAATAAGTTGTGCAAAGCATCCCTGACCCAGTTAGGGCGCTCATCTTTTATTCATTTCTTGGCGCGGACGTATCGCAAGGATCTGTTGGAATGCCAGCACTTCAACCACGACTGTCGGGCCTGAGGTTTGTTCAGAACCCCTGATTTGATGATCTCTTTCTGTACCCAATGTGATAGAGGATTGGTCTTGTTCACCTTTTTTCGAAGCTCGGCAACATAAAATACTACTGCAGACTCTGCGTCAGCTTGCAACGACTGTTTGAAAAAGCTGAGAATGAATTTGATGACATCTGCAGGGTTGTCAAGATCCAGCTCGTCCATCTGCTGCTCTGTTTCCATGGCCCCAATCTCTGGTTTGGAACTGCTCGCTGCTAATGTTACATCGACAATAGTAAAGGGGGGTCCCCCCCCCTATTTTTTTTTTTTAGGGGGGGGGTCTGCTTTGCAATAGTAAATCGAAAATCCCAACTCTTCCCCAAAGGCTTCTGTAAGGTTTTGACAAATCCTCTCTTTTCTCATGGGCTCTGATGGGATCTTCATTGGATTCTGATAGGAAGAAGGGAAAAAATGCCTGCTAGAGCCAGGAAGGTTGTTTCTTATTGCAAGTGCTAATTCCAGTTTTTAATTGCAAATGCAAGGACCTGCAAGGGGGTACCCTTTGTGGACCTGTTTTTGGCAAATTTTTAAAAGGATATTAATAAAGAACACAACTTTTTTGAACAAGGTAAAGTTTTTGATTTGGTAAAGGTTTGCTTTGTTTTTTGCTTTTGAAAAGCATGCAATCACAATTTAAAAAACATTCAACCACAATTAAAAACACTAAGGAAGAAGGGAAAAAATGCCTGCTAGAGCCAGGAAGGTTGTTTCTTATTGCAAGTGCTAATTCCAGTTTTTAATTGCAAATGCAAGGGCCTGCAAGGGGGTACCCTTTGTGGACCTGTTTTTTGCAATTTTTTAAAAGGATTTTAATAAAGAAAACAGCTTTTTTGAACAAGGTAAAGTTTTTGATTTGGTAAAGGTTTGCTTTGTTTTTTGCTTTTGAAAAGCATGCAATCACAATTTAAAACCATTCAACCACAATTAAAAACACTAAGGAAGAAGGGAAAAACATGCCTGCTAGAGCCAGGAAGGTTGTTTCTTATTGCAAGTGCTAATTCCAGTTTTTAATTGCAAATGCAAGGTCCTGCAAGGGGGTACCCTTTGTGGACCTGTTTTTTGCAATTTTTTAAAAGGATTTTAATAAAGAAAACAGCTTTTTTGAACAAGGTAAAGTTTTTGATTTGGTAAAGGTTTGCTTTGTTTTTTTGCTTTTGAAAAGCATGCAATCACAATTTAAAACCATTCAACCACAATTAAAAACACTAAGGAAGAAGGGAAAAAATACAGCTGAACTGTAACTGGTTCTGATTTTTTTCCTGCATCCATACTAAATCTCAATTAGCTCCTTTGCAATTTAGTATTGTAAAGTCTGATAATTTGGGAATTTTCTGAAAATTATTTGTAGCTATTGCGAATGAACCACATTAATTGCAGATGCTCTGGACCAAGGTTGATGTTTGTAATTTAAAATCAATAAGGCCTAATTTAAAAACAATAGCTGAAACATCAGATTCTGAAAATTATTTGTAGCTATTGCACGCGCTTTACTATTGTCCATCCAACATTACAGGTGCAATCTCCATTGCCGGGGAGACGGGTGCAGCCGCAGGAGTGTTAGGCGCAAAAGTTGGCACAGGCGTGGCTGGCGCAGCCACCAGTGCAGGGGTGGCAGGTGCCACAGCATCTTGGGCTTCACCTTTCTCCTTACTGTTTCGCATTTTGGAGAGCATGTCACCCCAAGCTTTGGTAAGGTGCTTTTTGGTGGCCGGTTCAAAGTCAAGCGCATCTTGCATATCGACCAGCGCCGTGCTCTTGCGGCGGTACCCTTGCACTTTGGCACCTTTGTCAACGGCATCGGCGATGGTATCATAGGAAGGGTTTTTGCAACCACATGCAGGACAAAATCGGTGAGAAGGCTGCACCAGAGCTGTGCAGTTTGCTGCGCTGCATCTTGAAGTTTCAGCTGCTCTCTTGTATCCACGGGGTGGTGAGAAGACTTGCTCAGCGGATTCGGAACCGTAATTTCGCTCTGCTTTTGGAACCGTTTGCCTAAACAATTGAGGCCCGCGTTCCAAGATGACCTTGTCGCGGCTGACAGTCTCACCGCTGGCCAGGCCAATGGTGGACCATCCTTTCAAAATGTTTTTCTTGCTGTATCCCACGTCCCAGCACTCGTGACATGCATCCAAAGCTTGCAGTGAAGAAAAGTTGCTTTGTTTGGATCTCAACGTACTCCAATGTCTTTCAAACTCTCTGTTTGGTGACTGATCTAAAGGCATCAATGCGGCAGTGTGATACGGAGCCAGGTAAAATGGTCTGATATGGAATTTGTCTGCAAGGAGGCCGACTTCAATGGCAAAGTGACTCATTGATCCTCCGCCACTGTCCATCAACAAACAAATTTCTTGCTCCATGGGGATCTTCAAGTCATGCCTCGCCCAATGACAAAAATGAGCAAAATACTCCACGAATAGCTCGGTTGTTACAGCACCCCGCCTGCCAAAAGAAACTTGTTGCACCGCTAAGGCGCCTGCCATCACTTTTGTACTGCGCCTGCCACGGAAAATGCATCTTTGCAGATCCTCTTCAAATGTCCCATGCCTGCCATCGTTTTTGGAAAACCCTCACGTTTTGCTCACTTTTGAACAGGTGCAGAATCCCTTGCGCCTGCCACGCGAAACGACCTCTGAACTTCCAAAAGTGGTCCGAACCCCTAGTGTTTTGTACATTTTGACTTGGAAATGTGCTTCGCGCCACAACGGCGTGTCTCAACACTTCCAAAAGTGGTCCGAGAATGGTGTGTTTTGTACATTTTCACTTCGAAATGTGCTTCGCGCCACAACGGCGTGCACTTTTTCGACATCTCAACTTCCAAAAGTGCACTTTTTCGACATCTCAACTTCCAAAAGTGGTCCGAGAATGGTGTGTTTTGTACATTTTCACTTCGAAATGTGCTTCGCGCCACAGCGGCGTGCACTTTTTCATCTCTAATCTGGCCAGCTGGCTCCGCACCCGCCGCTTTAGCGAGCCTACTTTTGGACCCTCCGGAGCACAAATCATTGGCAAAACACAGTGTTTCGCGACTTTCCTACCTTTTCGCGCATCTGCATCTTCTTTCTTCTGACTCTTTCTCTTCTACTCTTCTCTCTTCTAATCTTTCTCTTCTCTCTGCCTCTGCCCTACTCTGCTTTTCATCTGTCCATATTGTCGGAAGTTTGACTTCTAAACTTCCTTCGATGATCATATATACATATATCATCTAAACATCTACTTACAAAACCGTATCAACATAATATGGCTGTGGTTTTGAACCCCTGCATCCCTTCTGTTCACAGTAAAATGGCTGGTAAATGGATGCTCACCCCCTGAACATCTTATTTATGGAAAAACATTATACACCATAATAACATATCAATATCCCCTCGACATCCCCAATTTTTAGTGCAACTCTTGTTCTTACCCGACAATTCTCACAGCGATGGAAGCCATGGCCCACTTCGATGATTTACGTGGCTTCAAATGGTGTCCAATTTGCAAACGGTCAGTTTACAAGATGGTAAATCCCATTAAATCCCATTATAAATCACCATAACATCGTCATTAAATCACCATAAAGTCACCATAAAATCGTAACGTTTCTTCACGGTGACTTCCCATCTCAACGTCGGAAAAGAAGGCGAGACTCAAAGAGACCCTCTGCGAGGCAGGCCTCCAAATATTCCAGGCCTTGCGCGTCGCGAACGCGCGTCGAGTTCTCGAAACTCTGAGGGGTGCCAGGGATGACTGACATGGCAACTATGGTGAGTTCACCTCCAAGCTGGTTGGGATATGGGGCCCATATAATATTATATAATTATGATTATATATATATACACATTATATACGTATATATATATATATGCATGCATGTATGTATGTACGTACGTACGTATGTAATGTATGTATGATATAACGAAGCACTGATAACTGGAACTGCACCCCCAAGGACATGTTGGCTCAACCCCTTCGTACATTGTGAGTTCAGACCTGAGCCAGCTGAGCCTTCAAAAAACAGATGACTATCATTGACTATCATGTGGTCAAGGGCAATTCGCAGCTCCTCGGCTTCCGAGATTTTTTGGTGTGGAATATCGATATTCACAGCGAATATTGGCCCCCTCCTAACCATTGGGTAGAACATTTTAAGAGAAGTTGGCCCCCACATTCCAAGCCAAACCAGTCTTAACTTAAGTTTCTGAAGAGGAAGTTACAGAATCATAAGACTGGGTGAAGACGACAAAACCAAGACCCAACTCTTGCCCCCTGATATATCAAATATATTCCAAACATATTCCATTATCACATTCCCATCAAAACGCTGAAATGTATTGGATCCTATGGAGCTCGAAACATGGTACTTTGAGCAAAAAGAGGGATGGGATTCAAAAACTGATGCCGAAAAGGGGGGCTCAAAACAAGGACCAAACATCTGGCCTTGATGTACTGCAATCAGCCTGAACTCAAAACTTTAAACTCATGGCTACTCAGAATGAGTTTCGCTGAAAAGTGCTTAAGCAGCTATTTCTGGATATTCATGCGCCAAACCCAATAGCAAATTTAAGCTTTATCAAAAAGGACGCATGGTAAAGTATGGTAAAATTAGTTTTGCTTGGTATCCTCTTCATGAAATTATGGTTCCGAAAAATCCTGATCTAACGACAGGCCAAAAAAATGGGATGCACCGCACTGGCTATGGATTTATCCATGGCTACCCCATGGCTACCAAAGTATGTAGAAGTGCACAAAATCATTGGCTAAGCCACGTTTTTTTTGCAAGATTCATATGGCATCCTCTTCAAAGGATACTCATCACTCTTGGGGGTCCTTTCCAGAATGAACCACACTTTGTAATTTCCAAGCCCATCTTCTGTGGATTGAATTCCGACAAATTTGAAGCGATTCTTGTGAGAGAGCACTCCGAAAAAAGAGATCTGGATGCAGCAAATGTCACGGCAGTCCCTGAACAGATTTAAAAACAGAGAATGAACACATTTTCAAGAGTAGAACTTTTTATAAACCTTCATCACACAATACTAGGAACAAGGAACTCTGTTTTGTTTCCTCAATAGCTATGGAAAGCCACCCTTTTTAAGAAGGCTAAATCATCGAAGTGGGCCATGGCTTCGGCCAAGTTGCTGGGTGCTTGTCGCAGCAAAGTTCTCTTTGACATCACTGGGGCAGCTGGGCGCTTCCTGCTGGGTGAAGGATGAACAGAATTACCATCTGATTATTTAACAGTTGGCCATAGAAAATCACCATTTATAATAGGTAAACCATCTACAAATGGGCCATTTTCATCCATTTTCCATGGCTCTGTTAAATAACCAGAGGGTAGCTTCAAAACCCATGAGTTGATTCAACCCACTTGGCATTGAACGGCTATTGAGAAAACCAAGTTGAACATCACTAGTTAGTTGAATAGTTAGTTGAACACATTTGAAAACCACTAAGTGAAAACAACGAAAATCCATTGGAAATGGTAAGGTATGGCAACTTAAACGAAATATCACCAGTCTGATATTTTGGGTTTGTCTGAAAATGATGGACTTACCCCCAATTCAAGTAAAGCATTGGATTTTCTGGGCACCATATTCTCAAACAAAGGACCGATGGTCAATTGTCACTATAAAGGACGAACATCATGGATTATCATGGATCCACTACCAAGGATTTCAGTCATCCAGAATTGCAATTCAGGTTTGCTGAACACTGCTCAAATAGCTGCTGCTTCAGCTGGTCCGGGCTCATGTTCAATCCACAACAAAGGATCTGAAATCTTTAGTTTCCATGCGCGCAATAGCTCTCAAACTCGATGCACTTTTTCTCAAACATCGATCACATGAACCAGGTATCCAGGTGGTGTTTCCGACAAGATTGAAAAACAAACTCATGGTCATGGGTGAACCGTGATAATACCCCCATCCCATCCCAGATCCCTTTGCCCAATCATAATCCTGATCAATTTGGTAGTTTAGCGCCCCCCATTTTCAATGATATCTATGCTGGAACCATCAAAACACCTCACTAAAATGATATGAGAATCCCATTAGCATATCATAGCATATCATAATTCCCAGTGAAAAAAAACAGGGTTTGATGGCAAAATCTCCTTGTAACCAACTAATCAACGGCTCAGCTCTGGATGAAAAAACACAGTCGAGCTAAGATGAGCCACTTCCCAGAGCGAACGGAACGATATTCAACTACTAAATAATATACCCCCTGCAAAGCGTTGAGAATCCCCCTCGGGTAATCGCTCAATTTGCATCATCGCTTCAGCTGAGTTTTCTCGTGCACGTCTCAGCTTTGGACAGCAAACAAAGTCAGTATCCCCCTTTGGGCATTCGGCTCTTAAACTACCCATCCAGTCTGTTCACCCAGGATATCACAACCCTCCAAACATCAACCAACACTGTGGGTGAGGTCGATGAGCGAGGTCCTCGTATTTTATGTATTTTGATGCAAGGCTCAGTGATCACTTGGTGAGACACCGCTGTAGGCACATTGCCAACATCCAGTCCCGGGGATGCTCACCGGTGCAAGTCCCGTTTTGAACTAAATCATAATACTTACATGAACATTCGACACTACATGATACCACTTAGACATAATCACAAATCAGTACCAAAATGATCACATAATTTTTTTGATCTCGGATGTTGTGCAAAAGAAACTCCTTTACTGCTCATTGCAGGGTTGACCTCCCATATATACATAAATATGTATTAATTATATACATATATATTAATATTACTAATATTATTAACATATGTATATACGCTTTCTATATCTTTCTATTGGATTACCCAACCAAGTTTGATCCAAATGAACCATGACGAATTCCCCCTATCCCATGCTAGGTCGATATCCCTCTCGAGTCATGGGGTGATCCCCAATGAATCCGTTTCAATCCTAAAATGGCTCAATGTTCGATGACTTTTGGGGGTACCCCCATGACTTAGGACACCTCATGACACCTCCATATCCCCAAAGATAATCAACCAGCAGGGATATCTTCATGGCTCATGTTTTATTTCAGCTCCAGTTCCCGGCCTTGCGCGAATGGAGGTCGTCTTCACATCATCCAGCGATGCAACGCGGCGCCTGAGCGCAGTAATGTTGGATGCTCATTAGTGTGTGATTCCGCTAAGACCTGGTTTGGGAACCCAAGGGTCATGGGTCCAAGCATTCTGGGCTTATGGGTGAGGGAAAGATTAAGGTCTTCGAGGCGCAAACTTCTCTAAGGATACTGTTTTTCTGTCTTCGCCCTCGTTCTTCCTTCGTTTCCTGTCCTTTCCGGCTGCCCAAAGTCGTCCTGGACCCAATAGAGCACTACCCAAACAAACCTACGCATTAACATCTAGTACTGAGCGTCTGGGTTATTTGCTTGGACGTTGTTTGGATGATGGCTTTGATCTTGGCTAAACCAATATTTTAGTGATTCTGTGGGCAATCTTGGCAAGGCTTCAAGATGAGATACATAAAGCATCATAAAGTGGCAGTAAAGGAGTTGTACCTTTTGGGATTCACCAGATCAAAGGGAACAACCTCCTGGCTCTAACAGAGCACCATGCTACGAATCAGCGTACAAGATTATTAGTATTGGTAGTAGTGTTATTAATAGGGCTGGAATGAAAATATGTAGATTAATATGTAGAATACCTATATATAATACATACTGCTTCAAATCCTTTCTTTGTTGGTCGTTTTTTTCCGAAAAAAAAACACATGGACCAGTGGCTGACTGCGTCGGGCACCGCCGCGGACAGCGCAACGTCGCTTCAGCCACCTGTGGCAACCAATGCTTTCTGCAGTGGTTTAGGTTTCCTTGGGTCAGCATAGTTAGAACGTTAGGACATCTTCGAGCTCCCCAACGAGTAACATCTAGTATTAATAAATAACTATATCATGCTACATCATAAACATAACCAGTTGGTGGCAGAATATTCAGTTTCCAAGGCCAAGGGACCTGCAATGGACCAACAAAAGTCTCCAGCTTTCAACGGGACCAGGTACACTACGAAAAAAAATGCGCATTTGACGCGTTTTCTGAAATCATTTCCTAAACCATTTCTGGGAAACATGGTTTGAAGGAACAAGGAAATCAACCAAAAAGTATCCCAAAGTGCAGAAATCTCAGTTGCACAAGACTTTATTGTACTTGGAATGTCCACGTATGATATAATGTGGTAAACCCAAAAAAGTAAACCATCCCCAAGTCATCATCATTTTATGGGTGGTATACACCATCCCCAGTCATGGTAGTTCTTTGTGGCAGCCAGGGTTTCCCACATTAAGAACTATCAAATCACCAGTCATATCACCATTAATTACCAGTAATATCACCATCAATCTGGGCAAATTATAATGACCTCTCCGCGACCTCACTGGAATCATGGTTAATAAGGGGAATCATCCCAAAATGGCCTTATTTCAGGTTAGTGAATTATTATATAATTTGCCCAGATTAGTCACCATTTGATCACCATTTAATCACTATTATTCAATATTATTCACTATTATTCACTATTTTTCATCATTTTTCACTATTCACATCTATTAAAACATCTATTGACATCTATTAACATCTATTAACCATGGGTTTTAGCCATGGCTTTACTGCAACCGATCACCTTGACATCCGCAAGCTCGCACCTGGGCGTCGTCAGCGCCGCGCCCAGCAGGGCGACCGCTTGGCGCGGCGCATGCCGTGCCGGCCGCGGCCGCGCGCGAGGTGGCCCTGCGACGGAG